CCGCCCCCGGGAGCCCCGCCCCCGGGAGCCCCGCCCCCGGGAGCCCCGCCCCCGCCCGCGCACCTGCAGACTGGGCTGAGTTCGCAGGCCTCCAAGATCTCCAGGCAGGAGGGCGGCGATGGGTTGGACCCGACGAAGGCACAGGCTGGCACGAAGGTCTGACGCCGGCGCTCGGCGCACTCGGTGCCGGTGCACTGGCAGAAGAGCAGCGCGTGGGTGAGCGCGGGCGGCCCGCGGGAGAAGAAGCGGCGCAGGGCGCGGTGGCAGCGGGCAAGGTCACAGTCACCGGATGCGGACCGAGCCAGGCACTGGGTTACGTACTCGGTGCGCAGCCACTGGCACCGCGCGTCTGCTGTGCACGCCTCGGCCGCGTCCAAGCAGTGGTTCTGTCCTGCGGAGCTCGCGGACCCTGGTGGAGGGGCAGGCAGGTGCAGTTAGATCTCAGTGCACCCCACAGGCTCGATCCACCCTACCCCTGCCATCGGAAGTTGGGGGTGGTCCAAAACCCAAGTGTGTGGGGGGGGGGGACTGAGTGTGGCCTATTCCTTGTCCTACATGGAGATCCTTTTGGGTGGGCTTATATGTTTCTTCATCCTTCCAAGACTGAGGCTGACACTGGCCAGGGAGGTATGTCACTAGTTTCATGAAGGGTGGCCGGTGACAGGTGACCACTCAAAGAGGATGTCTGGCCAGGTAGAATTACACATCCTAGACCTAAGGCAAGCTGCTACAGCTACACGTGCTACAGCTACATTCAGCCAAGCCAGGGTATCTGGAATCAGGACTTCCTAGGACCTGGGTCACCCAAACCAGTCTAACCTACCCCTTCCTCCCCACAGCCTCCTGCTGAGACTGTAAGACTTACCAGCACCCCAGCCTGAGAATAAATGCCCATCCTGCCCCTTCCTCCATCTTGGTGTGTGGGGGTCTGTGCATGGGAGGTCTCCTGCTTCTGGACTGAGAGCAGGGCTCCTCTTTTTTCTAGGTCCTGGATCATAGTGATATTGGCTGTGGCTTCAGTACCCTAAGCTCAGTAGGAAGGGTAGACCTATGCTTGGGGCTTGTGATGAGTGGAGTGCATGAGTGGAGGGGACAGGAGATGGGAGAGTCATCCCTTCTCTCCCCTCCCTTCCCTTCCTTTCCTTCTAGAAGGCTCTTCTCTCAGTCATGCTGGGAACACTGCCAGGCCTCAGTCCCACACAACTGCACTTAGTGTCACCTAAGTACTCGGGCCCACCTGCTCTTTGGTTACCGGTCTCTCTTGACAGAAACACTTTTAGCTCCTCTCCACTCTCAAGGCAGTGTGTCTGAGCTCCAAGATCTCTGCCTAAATGTTCACCATATTCCATTCTTCACCCACACCCCATAAATGGACCCTTCCCTGTGATGACCACAGTAAAAAAAAGACAGTGCTGAAAGTGGCACGCAGATGCCAGGCACTGAAAATGCCCAGCAGTGAATTAGACATAGCAATGCCCAGAAGACTAGAAGTGGAGCTCTGGAGCTGAGAGAAGGAAGAGTAAAGGGTAGGAAAAGTTAGGAGAGGAGAGGAGAGGAAAAGTTCCTGGGGAAAAGAGCTATCAAGGTGAGAACTGGGAGGGAGATGACTCCACTGGTCCCTGCTGGGCCTGGAAATAGGGTGCAAGGTGAATGCTGTGGGGGTAGACTGTCAGAGGTCCACGGTCACAGGATACAGGCCTCTTGCAGTGGTCATTCCTGCATTACAGCTTTTCCCTGATCACCCTCTTGCCCTCCTACCTTTTGGGAGGAACAAGAAAGAGAGAGGTGGGGGAAACGTGGGAGACAGATGCTTACCCAACAGCAGCAGCAGCAACAGCAGTGCAGACCCCAAACAGCAGGCCATCCTGGACACTGAGGATAGAAGGACGGCAGGAGACAGAGCGCTAGTCCCCTGATGACCTGGAGAGTATAACTCCTGAGAAGGAGCTCAGCAGACACCCAGACACCAGACTGTGATGGTTCACAATCTACCACTGGGAGGAGCCTGGGCTGTGGGCATGACACCTGCCCTCTCTACTTTGTCCCCGCCCAGGCTATACCCTTAAAGAGCCACCAGAACACCTGCCTGTGCTTAAATGGACCGACGCAACACACTAGCACTCCACATATCATGCACCTAGCAACAGCCACAGAACAACCAAGGAAATCTTGTTTCTTTTTTTCCTTCCTTCCTTCCTACCTGTCAGTCATGGGGCCTGAACTCTGGGCCTGGGTGCTGTCCCTCAGCTCTTCAGCTCAAGGCTAGAGCTCTACCACTTGAGCCATAGCACCACTTCCGGCTTTTTCTGCTTATGTGGTACTGAGGAATCAAACCCAGGGCCTCATCCGTGCAAGGCAAGCACTCTTCCACTGAGCCACCTTTCCAGACACCTTGTTTCTCTTTCATTTTTCCTTTATAGTATTTTTTTTCTCTCATGGTGGGGCTTGAACTCTGGATCTGGGTGCCGTCCTTGAGGTTCTTTTGTTCAAGGTGTGTGCTTACTACTTGAGCCATAGGGCCACTTCCAGCTTTATTTTTAGTAGTTTATTGGAAATAAGAGTCCTATGAGGTTTCTAGCCCAGGCTGGCTTTGAACCACAAACCTCAGATCTCAGCTTCCTGAGTAGCTAGGATTATATGTGTGAGCCACCAGTGCCCAGCTTCCTTTATACTTTGTTAATCTTTCATAAACTAGTTTTATACTTGTATAAAAGTTACAAAAAGGGTTCCCCTGAAGCCTTTCAACTCTCCCAATTGTTAGCATCTAGAGAATCACAGCATAGGTGTTAGGAAATCAACATTGGTACAATACTGTCAACAAAATCACAGACCATTTTTTATTTTCTTTGCCTCGTCCATTGAGGTCCTTTTTCTTTTCCAAGATCCAATCCAGAATCCCATATTGTATTTTGTTGTCATGTCTCTTTGTTTCCTCCTAACTGAAGCAACTCCTCAGCCTCTTTATCCTTATTTTTCATGCTTTTAGAGAATCCTAGCCAGTTATTTTCTCTTATATGTATCTGAGGCTTTCTTGTGATCAGAGAAGGAACTAAAACATGTTTCAAAACATACATGAGACACAATAGGAGGAACCAAGGTCTCATTCTCAGCTTTTTATATCACTGCTCTACGACCTGATCATTGTTTCCTTAGTTTTTTGACATCCATGGTAACAAATAAACTTCATCTACATTGAGCCAAGAGTGAAGAACTGTAGTAAGAGTGCCAGGTCCTGAGTTCAAGTCTCAGTACCAGCACACATACAGACATACAAATCCCACAGGAAATGGTGACACCAAAGTGGGTATTAAAAAGGTATTGGCTTGCAGATTGAAAGCAAGTAATGAAGTAACACAGACCTCCCCTCCTCACTCTCTGCCTTACTATATACTTTATAGTGATATTTTTATCACTACTACTTGGATTTGAACTCAGGGGTTTGAGCTTTCTCAGCTTGCTTGCTCACTAGGCTGGTGCTCTGCCCTTTATATAAATCTCCAGCCTGACTTTTTCTGGTTAATTGGATATAAGAGTCTCACAGACTTCTCTGCCCATATTAACTTCTAACCACACAATCCTCCAGGTCTCTGTCTCCTAAGTAGCTAGGATTACAGGTGTGAGCCACCAGCACTCAGCTAGTAAGTATCTCTTGATACCAGAGGTAAATACATGTTTTTACTGTCATTTTGCAGGTGATGATGGGCTATTCATTACTACTTCACATAATAACCTGAGAATACAGAGTGGAAAATCAATCTAGTTTTATAATTCATTATTATTTTAATATTATCAATATCATTGTAATTTTAAAACTTCACTGAGGCAAGAATTATACTATTTTGGAAGAAACAGAATCAAAAGATGTAGCTGCAAGAAAAAATAAAACAAAACATGTTCTTTCTCTTTTTGCTTCTTCCCTTAATTTTTTTTTGGGGGTCGGTTGTGGGGCCTGAACTCTGGGCTTGGGCGCTGTCCCTCAGCTCTTCAGCTCAAGGCTAGCGCTCTACCACTTGAGCCATAGCACCACTTCTGACTTTTTCTGTTTATGTGGTGCTGAGGAATCGAACCCAGGGCCTCATGCATGCAGGCAAGCACTCTACCATTGAGCCACCTTCCCAACCCTTCCCTTAATTTATTTTAACTGTCTTGACTCTTCTTGTTTCTTTTTTTTCTATTATAGAGGCAATTGGGAGCAGTTTCTCAAGCTCTTCAAAAACAAAAACAAAACCTCCCAGGCACTGGTGGCTCACACCTGTCATCTGGACTTCTTAGGAGGTTGAGATCTGAGGATCACAGTTTGAAGCCAACCCAGTCAGGAAAGTCTGTGAGAGTCTTATCTCCAATTAACTACAAGAAAACTGTAAGTGGCACTGTGGCTCAAAGTGGTAGAGAATTAGCCTTGAGCAAAAGAGCTCAGGGATAGCCCGGAGTTGAAGCCCCATGACTGACAAACAAAAAATCAAAAAACCTCTATTTGGGGGATTTTTTGCCAGTCCTGGGACTTGAATTCAGGGTCTTGGTACTGTCCTTCCTTTTGCTCAAGGCTAGCACTTGAGCCACAGCACCACTTCCAGATTTTTCTGTGTCTATGGTATTGAGGAATCAAACCCAGGGCTTCATGCATGCTAGGCAAGCACTCTACCACTAAGCCACATTCCCAGCCCTGGGGATTTCTTTTAATTTGGATGTTTTAAATAGATGAGTTGGGACTCTGGCTTCTCTGGCTGTCAATGGAAGGAGTGGTAGGCTGCAAAGCTTCCCCCAATTCTATCCACCTACTAGAATATGATTTTGCTGCTTATTGTTTTAAGCACCTCAGATTTGGAGTAGTTTGTTATGCTGCAACAACTACTTGACTCTTGCAAGAAGTCATGAGAGAATAAGAATGTCCACAGGAACAAGAGAAGAAGGTGAAGGGCACCCTCTTAGTCAGACAGCTGTGTGAAGTCTTTTTTGTTTTTGTTTTTGTTTTTTGGGGGTCCGGTCGTGGGGCCTGAACTCTGGACCTGGGCACTGTCCTTCAGCTCTTCAGCTCAAGGCTAGTGCTCTACCACTTGAGCCACAGCGCCACTTCCAGCTTTTTTCTTTTTTCTTATGTGGTGCTAAGGAATCGAACCCAGGGCCTCAGGCATGCAAGGCAAGCGCTCTACCACTGAGCCACCTTCCCAGCCCCTGTGTGAAGTCTTGACTGCTTTTGCAGCTCTACCCACCAGTTGTGACCCTCAGGATGCCCCCAAAGTTTTAATTTATAACAACCACCACAAAAGAATCACAGTGATACACCCCCACCCCAAGCAGCATGTTTTTCTTCCAACGTCTCTGTGGCCTTTTCTGAAATGTCACCAACTGTCTCCTCCCATGGAAGGGAGGGAGGTTGAGTAATGCCCAAGCAAAGGAGGCTGCAGCATACCCATACCCCCACAACCTCAGGTGAGAACTGGAGAAGGGGGTGGGGGCTGAGGAAGTGTCCAAGGGTATAAGAAAGAACCAGAAGAGACTCAAGAAAGAAGATCCCAAAGATTTTGCTTGTTTCCCTATTTGTTGGCAGGGACCAAGATCCGGGGCAGAGACTTAGCCTGAATCCTAGGACCCTTAGGACTCTGCCCTCTACACAACTACATCTGGAAGAGGCCCATAGAGGAGACACAGCCAGGCTTTCAGGACCCAGCCTCTTCAGGTACCCACAGGGACCCACCCTCCCCTGATGGGGGGGGCGGGGTTGGGAGCCATGGGACCTTTGCTCCTTTGTGGATGCATTCTGAGGCTGGAGGGTATACCCTGAATGCCCCAGCCCTCAAAGCCAAAGACCACACTGGGTAAGCTTCTGACGGCTCTGGGGTCCTGGAATAGGAGTGACAGAGCTCCGCTGGGGTCTAACCCTTCCAAGCTGCCAGAAGGTGCAGGTCATTGTCCTTAGAGTCCAAGTTCCTGGAGTGGCTCTCGGTGGTCACTTGTCTTTTATAAATACTTCTCCCCACAGAGAGAATTCGGGCCTCTGGGCTTGACCTGCTGAAAATGAAGTGGTGGTGGTGGTGGTGGGGGTCACTCATTGAAGGCTGGTGTCCTGAGCTACAAGTCAAGTAGCTGAGGACCAGTCACCAGGGAAGAGCCACAGTCCTCCCTCCCCTGCCCCGAGGGCTTTCCGCATCTGTATCCATGACTACACTTTCTCTTTTGCTTATTGACTAACCCAAGCCCAGGGACTTGAATAGGGGGTGTTTCTCAATGAGAGGGAAGAGCTCAGGGGCCACACCTACCTGGGGGACAGGAAGGCAGGGCTACATGACTACAGGCTTCTCAGGGTGGCTGCTGGGCTCTGGCAGTATTCTTGAGTTCTGGAGGCAATGAAGGAGGATGAGTGTTGTGAACACAGTTGGCAGGAGCCCTGGAGCTTGGGCATCACACAGGAGACTCAAGACAGCTGGGCACACAGTGGGGGAGGAGGGGTGCAGCAGAAAAGAGGCAGGGGGAAAGATACCATCCTTGTTGGGTGCCAGCTAATGCTAGCTACTCAGAAGGCTAGATGTGGGAATGGAAGTTCAAGGCTACCTCGGGGGAATGAAGTTCAAGGCCACCTCAGGCAGAAAAGTTTGAGATGCTTATTTCCAGTTCACCACCAAAATGCTGCATGGGGTGCTGTGGTTGTAGTGGTAAGCACCAGCTTTTGGCAAAATGAAGCTAAAACACAGCACTTAGGCCCTGAGTTAAAGCCCCAGTGCTAGCGTGTGCATGTGTGCATGCGCGCATGTGCACACACACACACAGACAGACACAAATACACACACTCCATCTTCACTTCCCTCCTTATGTCCCCTGGTCCCTCACTCACCCAGGCACTGGGACTCTCCAGCTGCAGTAGGGCCCAACTCCATGGTGTGAACTCCACCTGGGAGGTGCTCCCTTTGTGGGACATTGTTGGACCTAAGCAGTGGGATTAAACCATGAGGAGCTTGGAAGAGTGACTCTGAGCAGGGCACCAGGAGTCTGCTTCTTCATACCATGGTACCCAACCAAGTTCTGTGTTGGCTGAGCTTCTACTCTTCTGCTTTGGCTTGCACTTCCTGCCTCCTCCTGGAGGAGTCTTTGGAGTGCATGCTTTCCTTGAGACCTGCGCCCTCCAGGACACCCTGCACCTCCCCTCTCTAACCTTGACATTTCTCCCAAGCTTTGGCACCAAGCCCCCAACCTTCCTGATGTAGCCTTGCTCAGGTCCCACCTAAGGTTGGAGTGCCTAGATGTGCCCCCCCCCAAGCAGGAGCTGTGCCTGCCCACGTTCCTTGCCATTAGCTACCTGCTGCTTCACTCCCAGCCATTTCCCCCTCCCCCCATCTCTCAAGACCTCCCCACTTCCTTTGACATCTCCACAGTCTCCACTGCCCTGAATGCCCATGTTAAAGATGGGATGCGGCTGCCACCACTCTGCAGCCTCCCCTTCCCATGGTGACACCCCAAGTTCCTCCCACCTTTCTCCTCTGCCCTCAGCCCCTTATCATTCCTCAGTTGTGCCAAAGCCCTCTCCACTGGCAGCTGGGGCCTGGCCAGCTCCCTGCCCCTGCCTGGATGCCCTCTGCTCCCATTTCTAGCTCAGGTGACCAGGAGCTCTCTCAAGCCCAGGCTGTCACCCTTGCCCAGAGTCGCAGTGAAGAGATAGCCCTAGGGGAAACACCCTTAGCACTATGTACACTCCCCTCAGGTCAGGCAAAGATGAGTTGGGAGTGATCCTTTGGCATAAGAACTGTCAGCACCACAGCTGACCAGTGGTATGGAGTACAGACATGCGGGCTCAGTCCCAGGGACACTTGAAAGAGGTGACCGTGACTAGGGCATAGGAAGTGAAAGAGGACCAAAAACTCCTGAAGCAGGCTACAGAGGCCTCCGCTGTCTTGGGAGCTGGTTGGGGGAAACCACCCAAACCCAGCAAAGTCAAGGATGAGGCAGCCACCTGTGGAGAAGTTGAAGTGGACTAGAGGAGTGATGGGGTAGGGAGTGAAAGGCTAAGCTCTGAGTGTTGCTGGGGACAGGAGTACAATCTAGGCTTGCCTAGGAGGCCATCCCAGCCCTGTTTTTGCCCTGCCTCAGGTCTCTCTGCACCTAGGTTCAAAGCTGAAGACACCATCCAGCTCCCTGCAAGCCTGTGCAGCTCCGAGAAGCAAGAATCACAAGAGTGAACTCAGGAAGAGGGACCAGCACCCTCAGAGACTGGATATTCAGCCTACCGGCTGCCCATGGGCTTCCTCCTGCAGCCCCAGAAACATGGCTGGAACCGAAGTCCTGAGAGCCTGTAGCAGCACCAGGCCAGACCAACCCCAGGGAGCAGAGGCAGCAAGAAGCTGAGGAGCAAGGCCAGCAGGAAGGCATCGTGCTCTGTGGAGAACAGGGCTTTAAGTGGTGAACCAATCACCACCCCAGGTCCTGCCCGCCTGTCCCTCATTGGCGCACTTTCAGGCTGCATAGGGCCACTGTCCACGCTACCACCAAAGCCTGGCCGGTCACAAAAGGGAGGCGCCCAGCCCTGATCACAGTGGCAGTTATGGTTGTTATTGCAAACCTGCAGAGAAGAGAAGGAAAGAAGGGTCACATGGGCTCAAGGATCTCCCGCCAAGGTCACTTCCTGTACTCACTCCATGGTTGTGGCAGGTAATCAGGCAGTGCTCCAGCTCCTGGAAAGTCGCATTCTGGCAGCGCCTGTCCTGGCACATCTATGGGTAGAGTGTTCACAGGGCAGTGAGAGGGGACACTTTGGCCTGGAGGGACTCAAGGGACCGGGAGGGGCTGGGTGGGCAGGGCTCACCATGCTAGGTCCACATTGGGTGCCCGGTTCTACCAGGCCTAAATCAAACAGGTCCAGCTGTGCATCAGAGAGTGCGAGGGCTCCGCGGCAAGCCATCTCCCTGCCCTCTAGGTGAACCGTAGAGTCCAGGGGCACCATGTGTGGCACGAGTGAGCTCTGCTCCCCACCCTGGCACTGCAGTTTCCCACACTGGGCATCCCTGGGGAGGAAGGTAGAGGGTGGTCTACCTGAAGCCTGTACCCCTTACCCTGACCTACTCTGCAGCGTTGGTTGCCCCCAACTCCACCCCCTCACCTTGGTGCACAAGGCAAGAAGCCACCCGCACTGTCCTGACCACAGTTCCCACGCGTGTCTCCCGCGGAGTTTACCACTTGGAAACAGGCCTGTGGTGCTGGGCGCGAGGCTGAGGGAGAAGAAGAGGGGCTAGGGCCAAGCAGGCCTGAACCAGACTCGGTGACCCCAGCTCCCCCATCCCCTACTCCGTCTCCCTCCTTCCCCCCAGCCCTAAAGCCCTGCGCCATCTCACCAGGGCCCCAGAGCCGCTGGCACTGCTGATCCAGAGTGGGACACGTGCCATCCCGACAGTAGCCGCGGCCCCCGGCGCAGGGCGAGCCGTCCAGTAGGTAAATGTCCGGAGGACAATGAGGGGAGGCTCCCGTGCAGAATTCGGGGAGGTCACAGTCACCCACAGCCCGGCGGCACAGCGTCCCGGGCGGCTTCAGCTGCGCGGGTGAGCCGGTTAGAGGAGAGCAGACAGACAAAGCACAGTGAGAGATCCGGGCTTAGGGGGACGCCGGAGGCGGCGGGAGCGCCTGGAGGGCCCACGTTTAGATTGAGACAGCACCCAGGAGGGCAACCAGAGGGCGCCCACCAGTGGAGACCGGCCGGCCGGCGGTTCCGGGTCGCCCGGCAGTCCTCACCAGGCAGCGCGCGCAGCAGAGCCCGTGCGCGCACCGCGCCCCCGCGCGCAGCGAGCAGTTGTGGGCGAAGCAGCAGGAGTCCGGGCACCTCTGTCATCGGAAAGGTGAGAGAGGAACCGGTGAGGGCGCAGTGCCCCAGACTTCCGGGGGCGGAGGAAGAGGGGAGTTGTCCATTCTCCGTCCCCAGGGGCGGGCGAGCCCACCTGACCTGGTCCGGGCCGCAGTCGCACTCTTCACCCGACTCCACGAAGCCGTTCCCGCAGCGGGCCGGAGGCGCGGGAACCCCGGGGCCCGGAGCGTTCGAGAGGCACGCGCCGCCCCCCTTGCGGAGGAAGCTGCGCAGCTGGCGGCGGCTGCAGGCGCTGAACACTCGCGGGAAAGGGTGCCTGCGGGGAGGGGAGCGGGCGTCGGCCTGCGGGGACCACCTTTCTCTTTTTAAGTTTTCGTGTGTGGGGGGGGTGTTGGTCGTGGAACTTGAACTCTGGGCCTGGGCGCTGTTCCTGCACTCTTCAGCTCAAGGCGAGTGCTCTACCGCCTGAGCCACAGTGCCATTTCGGTTTTCTGGTGTTTTTTTTTTTTTTCTGGTGGTTTATTGGAGCTAAGAGTCTCACAGACTTTCCTGCCCGGGCTGGCTTTGAACTGTGATCCTCAGATCTCAGCCTCCTGAGTAGCTAGGATTACAGGCCTGAGCCACTGGTGCCCAGCTTATTTATTTAGGTAGGATCTTGTATTTTTTTTTTTGCAAAGGCTGGCCTTGAACCTCATTCCACATCTGTTTGTTTTGAGACGGCCTCTCACTTTTTGCTAGGCCAGCCTCGAACCAGATTCCTCCCGATCTCTGCCTACCAGTAGCTGGCATTACAATCTAGATTCCACCTTCACACTCTTGAGAATCCATTTTACCTACATCTTTCCCCGGACGGGCGCATAAAAGACCCTAAGGACAGGTACCTATGAATCCTCCTTTCACAGAAAAGAGAACTGAGGGTTAAGCAAGGAAACTCAGGTAAGGAACCAAGCCCCTTCTCTGTGCGCACCCGGTGGCCGCCGCCATGACGCAACCGCCCTGTGCCACTGTGGCCTCCACGCAGCAGCCGTCGGGGTCGTGGCTGAGGCCAAGGCTGTGGCCGATCTCGTGGGCCACGGTGGCAGCCGCGCCGATCGGGAGCTCCGAGTGGTCCTGGGAGGGTGGGGGTGTCACCTTGGGGCCGCGAGCCCCGCCCCCTTCCCCCCCCCCCCCCCAAGTCCCCACAAAGATTTACCATGCTCACACCTCCGGAGCTCTCGGCTCGGCACATGCCCTCGACCGGAGCCAGGCCCACAGTGGTGCCCTGGAAAGTGCGACCCCTGAGGAAGAACGCTGGTGATGGGGTGGGGTCAGGGTTCGGGGCCGCCCTGCCCACCCCACCCCCGCGTAGGGCAGAGGCACCCACGTGAGCAGCTGTGCCGAATCATGTGGCCTCCGCGCCCACAACTCCCGGCGCCACTGCAGGAAGGCCCAGAGCGTGGCATTGGCGTCCGGTGTGATTTGGCTGTAGTCCTGCTCTGTCCACACTTCCAGGCCGGTCAGCACCACCTGAATGTCCAGTGTCCTGAGAATCTGAGGGCAAGGAGGAGCGGGGCTGGGGCCAGGAACCCACCTTCCTACTGTACGCCTGTGCGCCATTGTCCCGTTCCCCTACCCCCATCCTCCTCTCTGCCCCATCCCCAACCTGATCCACGTAATTGGCGACCTCTAGGAGACGCTGTTTGGTGTGGTTCAAGTTCTGATGTTGGATCATGAACTAGGAAGGCAGGAATTCTAGGCGCGAGGGACAAGGCAAACTCCACCCAGCCGCGACCAGTCCCTTCGGCCTTCCCTCACCAGGGTGTGGTCAGCCACCAGGTACAGCTCCAGGTACATTGGGCTCTTACGGTGGGCCTCTCGCTTCTCCTGCAAGGTACAGACGGGAACTCTGAGAGGCAGACTGCTAGCGTAGAGTTCTGCCATCAACCCCAGTTCTCAGAGACAACAGTTTGAGACTTGTTGCTAGAACGTGTTTCTCCTTTTCTTAGTTAAAGGATCAGGACAAGTGGTCCTGCTGTGGGGCCTGTGTTTCTGTCTCTTCTGATTGGGAATACTATGGATATGGGACTGTGCATTTCCACCTCCACCCCTATTTGTGCCCCTGACCCTGTTATGGGGAGCTGGAGGAAGGCTGGTCCTGCCCTGATTGTCACAGAAGCCACAGGCCCCTTTCCAGATGAACAGCCTCTCTGTCCGGAAGATCATGTGGGTTGAGGAGTCCTTGGAGTCCCCAGGTGGCCAGGGAAGCAGGTAATAGCTGGTATTGCTGCTGAGCATGATCAGGCCACTAGGGTACAGAGGAATGCAGAGTGGATGGGAAAGGCGCTTACCCCAGGCCCCACCCCCTCCACCAAACGCCTCACCTCATCCCAGAGCAGCCACTGAGGACTACCCAGGAGTCCTGGTAGCCCTTCACTCTCCCATAGTAGTGGCAATGATCCTGTAGAGGAAGCAGCCCAGCCCCAAATCTCAGCCAAGGCTGACTCTGGAGGGCAGAAGGCCAGCCTCTCAGAGATTGGAGTTAGGGAACAGGGTGCGAACAATGGGCGCACTTCAGTGATGCACCACAGAGGGTGCATCCCCAACACCCCTCACCCTGTCCTCAAGAGCCCAAGGAAATATCTTACCGTGTAGTTAGGGACCAGCACCACAGGCTGCCCATCGGGGCTGTAGTGGGTTTCTGTGTACCCTGGGGCCAGCAGCCTGCTGGGAGAGGTGTTTTACAAGTCAACTGGTTCAGCCCTGCCTCCTGCTCCTGGTGGCCTTCCTGCCTCCCTGCCTGAATGCTAATTGAGCAGCTGTATGAGTGAGGTACCCTGTAAATGTCTTAAGGAAAGGATACAGGAGAGGCTGTGCATTGTTCAGCTCAGGAAAACCTAGAGGATGAAGGGTAAAAGCGAGGAAGGAGCCTTTGTGATGGCTTAGATGTGGAAGATGGGCATATGGGAATTACCAGGGAGGAGGGGAAGGGAGAAGAGGAGGAGGTCTTGTGGTTCCTGAGGTCTACAGCAGGCAGTCTGGAAAGTGGGGGGCAGACTCAGCAGATGCTGGGAAGATAAGACTTGGAGCCAAGGAGGAGACTAAAGCCAATAACCCCTACTTGCTGCCTAACTTCTTGACCATCTGGTCAGCCCTCTCACCCCACCCCTTCCCATTCCAGTTCCTTGAAATCTCCTGAGGCCTTTAGACCCCCTCCAGTTTAGAGGCTCAAGTTTAGTGGTGCTCACTCCCTGCTTCCAGGAAAAATAAAATCCCACCTACCCACGCCTACTCCTGCTCACCTTTATAGTCTACCTGGTTCTAAGACCCTATAACTCCATCTTGACAACCACCCCACTCAGTCCGAGGCACTATCCTGCTCAATATCTTGGGCTCTGAATGTTCAGGATCTTCAGAACTTAACGCCTAGGACTCCCTAATGTACTAGGACTCCTCAAATTCATCTCTCTGTCTGTGCTCTTCACCTGAAGGTGTAGACATTCCAGGTAGGGTTGACAAATTGCCACTGCTGGATGGATGCTTTGACCTTTGTGACCACTGTGATTTTGCCCCTTCCTGGAGTGCCATCCTATCTGTGGGAATCCTGTATAAGTCTCTGCCTCTCTCTTCTCTCCCCTCTCTCCTTTTACCTCTTCCCTCTCTCTTTTCCTCTCTTCCCCCTCTGCCTGTGCTGGGGCTAGATTTCCTAGGTTTCCCTTTTGACTGCATGTATTTTAAGAATGTCCACTAGGTGGTGAATACACAGCTGCCAAGCTGCTCCTGGGGTTGGGAGGAGAGATGTGGCCACAGAAGGGTGTACGCAGCCTCTACAGTCCACTTCAGCCTGAAGAGGGCCAGCTGCGAGTAGATGTGACAGGTATGACTCTCCATGTCACCTGCACTTCTTCTAAGTCTCCCCATTAATCTCCTGCTGGGGTCTGCACTGATTCTCCTACCCCACTCCCCACCCCCCTCCCCCCTGAGAAATGGTCCATTCTCCGTCCAGTGGTTCCTCAACCTGATACTTACTGATTCTTCTTCAGTTCAAGCAGGAGCTCCTGGCCTTCAGCCTCCAAGACCAACATCCCCACATCTAGTGTCAAGATCTGGTTGAGAAGGAGTACAGGCTGTGATAATGGCCTACAGTCCACCTGCCTGCCCGTGAGCTGGTAGGATGTGCAGCTGGCTAGTGAGAAAGTGCATGGAGGGCATGGATGGATGTGAGGTAAAAGCAAAGAAAGATATTCCCAAAATCAGTATGTTCATTGTCAGGACAACAGCCAGTTGGAGGTGCATAAATAGCCTGTCAGGAGCACACACATCGTCCCTAGAGATGAACTCCAGAAAGGTACCTTGTGTGCTCACAGTTACTGGGCTCTTGGTCTGCCTTGTTTTCTGAAACATGAAATGCAGAGGACACAAGGGTCATATGGACATCATGGGAGGCACGGGTATCTGGGTATTTGGGGGTAAGGACCCTCTCATGGGTTCTGTATTATCTGGAGGCGTGTGTGTGTGTGTGTGTGTGTGTGTGTGTGTGTGTGTGTGTGTGTGTGTGCTGGTCCTGGGCTTGACCTCAGGGCCTGGGTGCTGTCCTGAGCATTTTTACTCAAGGCTAGTGACTACCACTTGAGCCACAGATCCACTTCCAGCTTTTTTTGTGGTTTTTGGAGATAAGAGTCTCATAAACTTGGGGCTGGGAAGGTGGCTCAGTGGTAGAGCGCTTGCCTTGCATGCATGAGGCCCTGGGTTCGATTCCTCAGCACCACATAAGCAAACAGAAAAAAGCCAGAAGTGGTGCTGTGGCTCAAGTGGTAGAACGCTAGCCTTGAGTTGAAGAGCTGAGGGACAGCGCCCAGGCCCAGAGTTCAGGCCCCACAACCAGACCCCTCCTCCCCCCCCCAAAAAAAAAGTCTCATAAACTTTCCAGCTTCATACTTCGATCCTCAGATCTCAGCCTCTTAAGTAGCTAGGATTACAAGTACACGCCACCTGGCATCAGGCTGTGTGTGTGTGTGTGTGTGCGTGCCTTTTTGTGTGTGTGCTGGTGATTGAACCCAGGGCCTTGGACATGTTAGCCAAGTGCTTTACCAATGAGCTGCCTCTCATTCCCTGTGGAATCCAGACTTTACTCTCTACCTCTAATTTGGGCAAACTGTGCCATCTGAAATCCTCCACAGCCTCCAGCAGTCACCCACTTCTGGGCTCACAAAGTAAACAGCAACCCATCCCAAGCTAGGGGAGAGCACTGGCTTTCTTGGTAGCTATCAGGAGGGCTGGGCAGCTTCTCCTCCCCTCCCCTCCTCACCCCTTTCGCCTCTTTCACCCCACAGGATAGCCCATCTTCCCCCTTGTTCACACAGCCTGGCTGGGGGCCCAGAATTGGAGCAAGCCCAGGAGATTCCTGGGGGGCTGCTGTATCTTTGGAATGTTTTCCCCTCCCTGCTGGCTGACTCTCCCCTTCTCTCTCAAAATGCACTGTGCTGGGACCCTGGCCAAGGGGCTCAAAGTCCTGGGGAAGGGAGGGGGCATCCTCTGCAGGTGGGGAGCAGACAGCTCTCACTTCCCTAGCCATGGACCCCACAAGGCCCTAACATGAGCTCATATGGCTGGAATGCCACTGGCTTCATTGGAGAAAAAGTTTGTATAAGACAAAGGCAGTGGTCCAGATAGAAAGGCACACTCAAGGTCCCTGTCTGTAGCCCCTGCTGCCTTCACTTCTGGGCTTCTTGGTATCCCTACCCGCCCCCACGATGTGCCCTACCCCCACCCTGCAGTGTGAGTGCACCCTTGGCTTTAGGAGAGGACATCTGTCTACCAGAGCACAGCCTCCTGCCCTGTCCTGTCCTCACAGGCTTCCTAGAGCAGAGACCAGAAGTAGGCAAAGCAGGGGTGGGGTCAGCGCAGGCACAGGCCAGGTGGTCCCAGTATTTGCTCTGCCCTCCCTTTTATTGGAGGTGTCAAAAAAGGTCTCAAAATGTGGGCCAGCACTGTGTGTCTGACCAGTTGAGGGGAGAAGCTGCTGGGGGGGGGAAGGAGGGAGGAGGAAGGAGGGGGAGTAAGGGGGGAGGGGGCAGTGAAGGCAGTGAAGGGGAAACCCACCCCCCATCTTTGCAATTGCACTGGCCTGACTTCCTCCCCCTGAGCATGGGCAGAGGGACTGTCCACTCTGGCCTAGAAACTTAGAACTGAATGCTCCCCAGTCTTGAGTGAGGGGTGGCCAGTGATAGAAAGTTTTTCAGACCTTAGCAGGTCTCAAGCTTCTAGACTCAAAGAGCTGTGTGACCATGATCCAATGTCTTTGAGCTTCAGTTTGCCCCTTTGTAAAATGAGCACCAAGAGGCTATTGGCTTCTTGGTTTGCAACACAGATGTGGTGACACCAACATCTGGGATGTGGTTATTCTAGAAGAATGTGATAGGCAGAGTTGGCAGGAGGCTGGAGGGAGGTACAAAATGGTGTGGGCTTGCCTCTAGGGACACCACAAGAGTGACTAGTGTCACAAGACCATAAGCTTTGTATTTGCAGGCATTTGAACGGCTGGGCCTGGGAAGGACAGCAGTGTGCGCCCAGGGCCATGCGTTCCAGACAAGTCAAAGGAAGATATTTTGGTGTCTTCTTAGAGCTTCAAGCCTCTAACTCTGGACTCATCTCTGCGAGTGGGGGTGGAGGCTTGGAGTAATCCAAGAAGAAGAGGAAGAAGCTGAAAATGACTTCCATGTGTGCAGGCTCTCCTATCTAGCTGTCTCCTGCCCCGCCTGCCTGGTGGGCTGAGGCCTGCAAGAGTAGTGACTTGGTTCTGGGAACCCCAGAAAAACTGCTATTCTATAAGTGCAAGTGCAGAGGGTTTGGAAACCCTGGGGGCCTGCCGAGGACAGGGTAGAGATACTAACCGGCTCTTCCAGGGTGACTGCATGCCAGGATGGACCATCCAGGACCCAGTAGGGGGTGACGGGCTCTCCAGGGGCATTTCCTTGAGTGAAGGCAGAGCACAGAGTGAGGGACACCCAAGGAACTGGGAGAAGGGGAAGCCCAAAAGGGCACATCCATCTTCATGGGCTCCGTCTGCAGGACAGACAGCCATGGGGCATCCTTGGAATGGAAGAGCCACCACAGAGGTGGCAGGAGACAGAGGAGCCTGGGAAGGAACAACTTGGCTGGGGATTTAGGATCTGCTTGACCTTTGAGGGGTGAGGGATAGGCTTAGGGTCAGAGGTCATGAGGAAGAGACCAAGGCCCACCGTGCAGAGGGGAAGGGAAGGAGGAGGCAGGCCTGGGTATTTTTAGGCTGGGCAGCAAATGCCTTTAGTGTGAGAGATCTGTGCCGTGAGGCTGCCTGTGTCTCCACACCATCTGAGAAAAGCAACAGCCAGATGTCTCCAGAGGTCCACCTTGCTCAGCACTCTCCTCAGGGACTTGGTGCTGGTGGCAGGGTCCCTGGGAACCCTGGCGCCCTCCTTTTGTCTTCAAGATGAGGGGAAGCTAGGGGACGGAGCCTCTGTGCTGAGAATGGGGGAGGGAGTTGGTGCCAAAAGGGGCTCTAAGGAGGAAGCCTGAAGCCAAGCATTGCTCAGAGGGTGCCTGGAATGCTCCCCTGGAATGTTCCTGCCTCCCCACCCCCAACAGGCCCCAGGGAGCCAGGCACCCAGAGCCCAAAGCTGGCCCTCCCACCCTCTGCCAATCAGCCTGGGGTGGTGGGGGGGAGGGTCAGCTCCTAAAACACATGGCTCCCTCCAACCCCCCCCCCACTTCCCAGCACCGTGTTCTGGCTGATCTCTCCTCTGGTGGCAACATCCCAACTCCTCCCCCTTGCTCCTCCTCCTCCATCTCCTCCTCAGACCTCAGGCTTCAAAGACCAGGAATGGCAGCAGCTCCTGGAACCCCCTTCCTCAAGGCCCATGCCCTCCTTCATTGATGAACCAATTGCTATCAGTTAGATTGGGGGGTGAGGAGCTGCCACTTTGGAATCGAAGCTGAGGGACCTGGAGAGGGGGACAATCAGGGAGGATCCCTCAGCCCTGGGCCTGAGGCGCAGTGTGTGGACAGATGTGCACACTCTCTGCTCCCTGGCTGGCCACTGGGCTGTGAAGAAGAGCAGCATGTAAGTTGTACAGGAGTTAATAGAGGGAACCAGTCTGAGCTGCAGACTATGGAGCCCTTCTCCCTTGATCCCTTGCCTCAAGTCTGGAGCTTTAAGAGTCCTAGTAGTGGAATGCCTAGAGATTGGTCCCCAAAAGCAAGACAGCTGTCTGCCTCCCCTTGCTGGATGGAATAGGAATAGGGCAGAAGCTCATGGAGGTGGGGGGCGGGGGTCTCCCAGCACCAAGCTGTGGGTGAGGACCCTTTCCCCCAGCCCAGTCCTTCCTACCCATTGCCTTCTTTCTGTACTTGCTGTACAGGACCTGGAGAGTCCTCTGGCCCTCTTAGAGAGGTTAAGAGCCCTGACACAGAGGAAGAGACAGACACGGGCTTCCAGAAGCACTGTCAGACAGGCACCTTCTGTTTGGAGAGGTCCTTGTGAATCTCACCAAACAAGGCAACTCTATAAACAATGTACACACTGCTCAGGGCAGGGGAGGAGGGGACAGGGAGTCCTGAAGGCAGAGCATGAGGTGGGGGGTGGAGGCAGGAGTGGACTAGAGTTGGGGGCCTTCCTGGAGGAGAGAGCAGGGTACTTGGCAGCTGCGGAAGGAGGACGGATCTTGCCCTTCTGCTTTGCCCAGGATGTGGGCAAGTGGGCCCGATGCCACCTCAACCCTCCCCAAGCCCTGTCCTCCCTTCCTAGCCGTGGCAGCCCCAGGGTTTTGAAGGCTCCAGCTCACCACCCTCTCTCACCCGCCCCTACAGGCGCGCCTCTGCGCGCGTCCTCACCTGGAAGTGCCCGGGCGCCCGGCCATGGCCGCGGGGGAAGCGGCGGCAGCCGCAGCAGCAGCATCACCACCGCCACTAGCAACCCCCGAGATCTCCAGGACTCCCGGCCCATAGCGGGGAGCTAACTAAGCACAGCTAACTAAGCACAGGCTGCAAGCTGCGCGCTCCGCCCCATCTGGACCGCGGCCGACCCACGCCCGCCCGCCGCCTCCTACCCTCTGGCCTCTCCGGCGCGCCGCCTCCCCGGGTGAGTCCGCCCGAACCAGGCCGGGGAGCCGGGACGACCCTCGGTCGCCGCCGCCGTCGAGGGGGCCGAGCTGGCTGCGCTGGGCGGAGGCAGGAATCCAGCCCGCGTCCCCGCGAAGGCCACCGAGGTTGAGGATGCAGCGGGGACCGCGGGAAAAGCTCGCTGAGGACGGTAGCGAGATCGGGAGGCCGAGGCGGCTCAGGTCACCCCAGACCAAGTCCTCCGAGGACCCCCCACCCACAAGTCTCCGGGGCCAGGCCTCTCTGTCCCTGCGGTGGGGGCGCCTGGGGGAGCATCCAGATGGCTCCTCTGTTTAGGCTAGATGCCCCCCTCCCCCGCCATGGGAGGCCGTCAGGTGCAGAAGGGCGCAATCTGAGTTGTGCAAAGCCAGACTCCCGGGAGTGAGGAGTCCTTTCCAGCTTGGTCTCAACATCATCCGTTCCATATCTTAAAGGTTTGAGCCCGGTACCGGTGGCTCACGCCTGTAATCCTAGCTACTCAGGAGGCTGAGATCTGAGAGTCGCCGTTCAAAGCCAGCCCCGGCAGTAAAATCCATGAGACTCTTACCTACAATTGACCACCAAGAAACCAGAAGAGGTGCTGTGGCTCAAGTGGTAGAGCACTCACCTTGAGCTGAAGAGTTGAGGGACAGTGCCCAGGCCCAGAGTTCAAGCCCCATGATGAACAAAAAGGAAAAAAAAATACAATGATTGAACTGTATACATGGATGAGTTTTGCTAGCTGTGTATACCAGTAAAACCACCCCCTCAGTAGAGCTACATTTCCCCAAAGTTGTCTTTTCTTTCTTTTTTTTTTTTTTTTGTCAGAGACTAGGACTTGAACTCAATATCTGACACTTTTGCTCACTGGCTGGTGTTTTACCACCTAAGCCACGCCTTTAATCTTCCCAAAGTTTTCCTATACCTTGCCAATCTCTCTCATTCCCAAACCCAGAATTACTCATTTGTTTTCCCTTTGCAGATTAGTTTTGCTTGTTCTGGAACTTATATAAATGAAATCCTGCAGCACATACCCTTTTTTGTTTAGATTTACCCCCCTCTTTCTGTTTAGGAGATTCATTTACACTAGTTAGTGTAGCAGCATAGTCACACCTGGTTTAGCAATGGCCGCAAGTTTGCAGAAACATGCATGCCCATTTTATCATTGCTCTGACTGCACAGCTAACCTAGGTCTGGCCCAGGATTCTATGTGGATTTGACCTACTTTCCCCAAGCTACAAACCTATCCAGCAAATACCTGTGAGGAACCCTGTAGGCAACTCTAATATAACGAAAAGACTCTATGGTTTTAACTGTATTTAATCACTAGAAAGGATCAGAAAAATCCTAAGTGATTCTCTTTCAGGCCCATTTTTCCTTCATATACATGGTCCTTCATTACCAGAACATTGCTATGTGGCACAATAAGAATCTCTGCAGCTGGGTGCTAGTGGCTCATGACTATAATCCTAGCAACTCAGGAGGCTGAGATCTCAGGAGGCTGAGGATTTGTGGTTCAAAAACAACCTGGGCAGGAAAGTCCAGGAGATTCTTATCTCCAGTTAACTATCAAAAATCTGGAAGTGAACAAAAAGATCAAGGACAGAACCATATCCTGAGTTCAAGTCCCAAGATTGATGCTCATGTGCTCATGAGGGCATGTGCGTGCACACACACACACACACACACACACACACACACACACACACACAAGAATCTTTCAGATTTGACTATGTAGGCTGGCTGGCTCCAACCAAGATTCTCAGATCTCAGTCTCCTGAGTAGCTTGGAGGTGTAAGCCATTGGTGACGGATGCTCTCTCTCTTTCTCCCTCTATGTATGTGTGTGTGTGTGTGTGTTTGTATGTTTGTTTGTGTATGTGTGTATATATATATATATATATATATATATATATATATAAGGCTCCAGTCTTTCCACATCCACAGCAACAGTGGAGATTGCCTATCTATCTATCTATCTATCTATCTATCTATCTATCCATTTATTTCTTTTTGGCAGTATGGGAGATTCAACTCAGGGCCTTGTACTTACTAGTCAGGCTTTCTACCACTGGAGCTATACCTCCAGCCTGGGGGACAAGTTGCCAATCTTTTTAATTTTAGCATCTTGTGTATGTGTATCCTCATTTTTATGCTTCAATGATCTACTCCCCTTTTGGACAAATACACGGTTTTGAATCCCTTTCTGTGTCACTCAGGGTTCTCCTGAGAAATAGAATCAGTAGATTGTGTGTGTGTGTGTGTGTGTGTGTTACCCATTTCCTTGTCTTCCCCCCCCCACATACTTCAAGCTCTATGATGCCTGGAATATGAGTCTGTTTCAGCACTCAGCAGAGCCTGTCACAGAGGACAATAAAACAAGGTGTCTGTAACCTAAGAACCATATGGAGATCAGTCCTTGCAAAGCTGAGGGGACTGACCCCAGAGAAGTTATTACCTGGTGCCTGGGTCTGCTGCCCATCCCTGAGCAACTGTTAGTTTACATTGTGAGGTTTCAGAGGAGGAGATGGGGCCATTTGGAGGAGATGGTTCCTACAACACCTGTCATCAGCCCCATGTTCACACCTGGTTACTTGATAGATGATTGAGAAATGCTTGCTCTCAGAGAGCCATTGTGTTCTGGAAAGAGGCAAACCTGGTTCTAGGAATAAGCATCACCCTACCATGTAAATGACTTCGCTAAAGAAGTATGGCCCAGGGCAAGGAGACCACTGTAAACTCTAGCCATGGACATGCCCAGGGCAGCACCTGGAGATGCCAGGCCAGTGTTCAGATGCTCCAGAAAGAGTGAGGTTTTGAATGGAGCACCTTAAAGTCACAGTGAAGGCTCCATCCCTGACAGCTTGGTACATCTAAAGGGGAACCTGTTACTACTAGGTAAAGTGAAGGGGTTGCTTCGAAAATAATAATCAGCTGGAATTTTGATAGACTGTTGTGGGTAGCCATCATAAAATGTATTAGGTATGTGTTTTGGATGGTACTGGGGTTTGTATTCAAAGGCTTAGTCTTGCTGGGCAAGTGCTCTGCCACATCTCCAGCTCTTTTTGCTGGTTTGTTTTTGCCAGGGCCTACTTGAGACTGGAACGTCCTGTCTCTGCCTCCCACATTGCTGGGATTATAGGTATGTATGTCATCACAAGGTCTTGCTATGATGCCCAGGCTCATCTCAAACTCCTGGCTCAAAGGATCCTTTTTGCCTCAGCCCTCAGACTAGCTGGGACTACAGGCATATGTCATCACACACAATTAAGGTAGGACTTTTTCTTTCTGTCTTTTTTGTCATTCACAGAACTTGAACTCAGGGCCTGTACGCTGTCCCTGATCTCTTCTGCTCAAGGTTAGCACTCTACAATTTGAGCCACAGTACTGCTTCTGGTTTTCTGGTGGTTAGTTGGAGCTAAGAGTCTCACAGCCATTCCTTCCCCGGGCTGGCTTGGAACTGTGATCCTCAGATCTTAGCCTCCAGAGTAGCTAGGATCACAAGTTTAGCTACCAGTACCCAGCAGATTTTGTTTGTTTTAAACTTTCTAACTGAAATATAATAATATATATCCAAGAAAGTGAGCCTCTCAATGAATTTTCCCCAAGTGAACATGCCCATATGGCCTAATCAGTGCCATCCTTGCCTGTAAAAGTCCTTGTGGCCCCTTCCAATCATTTTCCTTACACATTACTGTTACTTTGACTTCTATCCCACTGCTTAGCTTTGCCTATCCTTGAATTTCACAGGAATGAGATCATGCAGTCTGTGCACTTTGCAGCTGGTTTCTGTCACTGAACCTCAGGTCCTCATCTGCAGTGGAGCTCATTGTTGCTGTTCAGTTCTGTCCCATGAGCACAGCTATTCCATTGTGATCGTGTGTGCTTATTGTTTCCAGTTTCTGGCCATGATGATGCAGAGCAATGCTGTGAACATTCTAGTGTAAGTTTCACAGTGGCATGAGACTTTATTTTTCCTCAGTAAATACCCAGGGGAGTCCTTTGGGGACCCTGGGAAGAGTATTTAGCCTTGATAGATCTTGCCAAACCATTTCCCACAGTTGCTATGCATACAGTATCATACCATTCATAGAAAGTTCTGAGGAGAAAGCTCTGAAGGGACAGGGCCTCCCTTGGAAGAGAACTGGAGGTAGAGAGGAGCTCCAGAGGAAAGAGAGAGGAGTGGGCCACATGATCAACTCAGTTTTTTTTAGGGTCCTGAGGAGTCAAACCCTCCTCCCATTTTTCTGTGGGTCAAGAGGCTCAGAGGCAGGTCATAGAAAATTAGATGTCACAACTCTGTTTCTGCAGAGGTTGGCAGGATCCAGTGCTGCCTTCTTCACAGTGTCTGATTGGTCACAGGCATCAGCAACTTCCTCCTCCTGAAGGTAGGTAAGGTCACTGGTGAGCTCAGGGCAACGTACAGGACGAAGCTGTGTCAGGATCAAGGAGCTTCCCACAAAGAAAACTCTGGTTACTCGAGGACTTGGGGTGCAAAGGTAGATGCCCTCCATAAACCCCTGTCGCCCTGGGTATGGATTCCAAGAGATTGATGGGAATGCACCTGGCTGACACTGTGGCTCAGACCCTAACCCACCAGGTCACTCATCTGCAGAAGAGGAGCATCTCAGGGAAGAGGAACCAGAACCAGATTTTTACCCCTGCCCAGGCTGGACAGGAATGTGGAAGGAAAATCTCAAAACAAAAGCTTGTGAGGCTGGGCACCGTGACTCATGTCTCTAACCTTAGCTACTTGGGAGACAGAGATTTAGACAATCATGGTTTGAAGTCAGTTCTAGACAAAGAGTTAGGGAGACTCCATCTCACACAAATAAGCTGGGCCTGGTGGCACACTTGTGATTCCAGCTCAGTGAAAGTCATGGGTAGGGGGATCATGATCCTAGGCCAGCCCTAAACAAACAAAATGCAAGACCCTAACAACTAAAGCAAAAAAGGGGCTAGAGGCATGGCTCAATGGGAGAGGACTATCTAGCAAGCATGAGGCTCTGAGTTCAAACCCTACTACTGCTAGATAGATAGATAGATAGATAGATAGATAGATAGATAGATAGATAGATAGATAGAGGAAGGTAAAGAAATCAGAAAATGTGACTTGAAAGTGGGAGTGACTTGATTCTGCTAGGACTAGAAAGTCCATATGAGTCATCAGGTACCCCGGTAAACATGTGACTATTCTTGAGTTTAGTTGCCCCCATCTCTTGAAGAGGTCCTGGATCCTAGTATTACACCACTACCTCCCCTTATCCAAGGCTCCATTCAGTCCCTAGCTAGCAACAGCAGCCAGGGACTACAGATTAGTTGGGTATAGTATGGACAAGAGCGGGTGTATGCCAGATACCTGCATGGTTTCTTTCTGAGAAGGCATCTCCAGTGAGTTCTCTTTCATGTCACTCTTGTGAGAACGCCTTCCTCTGTATAGGCAAGAGTGGATTCAGGCCCCCACTCCTGACCACCCACTCCACCACTCCCCTTCCCTTCCCATGTGCTGGCCCCAGGCTGCCCATTACACAGGTCAGGAGGAGCCCTGTGAAGGAGAGAAGAAAGATACAGAAAGCTGGGTGTAGGGCCCAGTCTGGAAAGATTTTTGAAATTTACAGGGAATGGGCTGTGAATTTCCTAGGAGAAAGGTTCTTTATGGGAGGGGAAGATGTTAGAGGAAATAGACTCTTTGGACCTACCTCCTCCAGGTGTAGCAGGCCCCCAGGCCCAGCAGCAGGCCCAGGAAGCTCACCAGGAATCCCAGGACCCAGACCAGCTGCTGGAACAGATGCAGCCGGCGAGCAGCTGGAACGTGCAAAAGATGCTCAGGGGGGGGCAGCCAAGACTCCAAACCCCTGATGCTCCTCCACAAGGTAAGCCACCCAAGATGACATCTATTCTTTCCCTTCATTTCCCCAACCCCCTCTCTCTTCCCTGTGCAATCAGTTTAGACTAGCACAGGGAAGGCAGACATTGGATCTTTGTGCAGAATGGCTGGGGAGATGAAGCTCTTTCTCACCTCTGGTGCCAAAGTAGGCAGAGGCAGAGGTGGAGCCCAGGGTGTTGGAGGCAGAGCACACATAGTCTCCCTGGTCACTGGGGCTCAGCTCCTCAATGTTCACCCTAAGGACATTAGGGGAGGCTAACACGTGGATGTGTGGCTCAGCAAGAGCATCCTGGGGCTGGCTGGAGGCTACTAGTCGATTGCCCAGGTGGAGGGTCAGGCTGGCAGGGGGCTCACTGTCCACACTGCAATCCAAGATGCCCTGGAGGCCACCCTCAGGCTCCACAAACACAGTCATTGTAGGCATCTTGGGAGGGTCTGTGGGGGGAAGAGAATGCCAGATGCAGAAAATGATCACAAATCCTTCCCTCCTGGTGACACCCAGCACAGGTGACTTAGCTGGGCCTCTGGTTAAGAGATGGAGCCCATTTCCTCCCTCTTTGAGTTTGACTCATTTTGAAGGCAGAAGCAACTTTGTGGGACTTAAGAGCTAAGCCTCCAGAAGCCTTGCAACTGCTCTTCTGCTCCCTGGAGATTCTACCTTCTGGGACACCCAGGCAAGCCTGTTGAGCACTTGTGACCCAACCACAGCTACAAGGGTAGAAGTAATCATACCGGCCATGCCCAATGAAGCCACTGGACAACTGCAGCCACAGAAGGTGACACTAGTAGAAGAACTGCCCATCTAAAGTCCATCTCAAATTTCTGATCCACAGAACTGAGAGTTTGGGGATAAATAGGTACTTGAGAGACCCAAGATGGTGAAAGCCTACAGTGTGCCACTCAGCGTGCTATACAACTGTACATCCTATACAACTCCAGAAGGAGGGAGCTGACTTATCACCCATTTTAAACGTGGGGAAATGAAGACACAGATACATAAGAGCATATAGAACCAGTTGGTGGTACAGCAGGATTCCAACCCAACAATCCACACCTGTGAAACCCCTGCTCCATGAAGGCAGAAGAGAAGGAAGGGCTGAGGTAGAGATAGAGATAGGGGGAATCTGCTGCAGAGTGGCAGCAGGGGCGGGGGCATACTCACACAGCACCCGGAGCATGACTGGAACAGAGGTGGCAACCATTCTGGCAGAGAGCTCAACCCTGCAGTGGTACAGCCCAGCCTGGGCACGGGCCACATGGGTGAAGGTGAGCGTGGCCACAGGCTCTACATGCAGTGGCTGTCCATTCCAGAACCATGTGAAGGTGGAGTTGCCAACTAACCTGGGGCCACCAAGGAGGCAGCAGCTTAGATTCAGAGCTGCACCCTCTGGCACGTGCAGGCCTGGCTCGGCCACCACATGCACACCTGCAGACAAAAGGACAGGCAGGTGGTTAAGGCTGGGTGGTCCTGCCTCTGTGTGTAGTGGAGATCTCAATTTATCTTGCTGTCTGGATTCTCCAAGATGGGACTGTGTGTCCCCTTTGACTGCTGAGGAGAGAGCATGGATTTCTTTCATGCACGGGGTGGAGGTGGGGGAGCTCTCTGGACAGGATGTGTCTTTCTTGACATAGCAGGCAATCTGATGGGTGAAGCTTCATCTTGCCCTCAGTCTGGCCTCCCAGAGTAGAATTGTCTTTCTCAGGGCAGGTCTGTCTCTGTACTGATTGGGCTCTGTGAAAGCAGGGTAGGTCTCCCCTCCAGAATATTTGTGCCTTAGATATTATGACACTTCCCTCTCCCTCAAAAGAAGGTCTCTAAGAGTCAAGCCATGCCTCCCCCCCCCTCAGACTGTGTGGCCCCTTCCATCAGATTATACTAGTTAGGCAGGGCTGCTTGTATCCTTTCAGGCTAGATAGCTCGCTGTATTGGGAGTCCCAGCCCAATACAGGGACAGCACCCCAACTCTAAACTCTAGATCCCTTCTTCTTCCCTCACTCACCTTCTGCTCGTAGCTGCTGGGTGGTGCTGACGGAGCCCAGTGAATTCTGGGCTGTACACACATAGGTGTCATCATCACCAGCCGGTACATCTTGTAGCTGCAGACGCAGGGCATTGCGGGCCACCTGGACAAGGCCCATCTCCGATGTTGAGCCGTGTAGCTCACTGCTGGTGGCTAACACCTTGCCATTGTGGGACAGAGTCAACTCAGCGGGTGGCTCACTGTCCACAGTGCACTGTACCACGGCCATGAGTCTGGCCCTTGAGTCCCAGAAGGAGGACAGGACAGCGTCCCGAGGGGCATCTGGGCGGGGCAGAATGACAGAGATGAGTCCTTCCAAAGTATCTTGTATGACCGACCCACTGTTCACCCAGCGGATGTTAGTGAGTCCTTCTTCCCCCAAGGGCCCATTCCTGAGCCCACTGCATCCCCTTACCCCCCCCCTCACCCAGAGCCTGGTAGCACTTCCTCCACCCTCATCCTGCACCCCCAGTCAAGGATCCCCTGCTCACATAGGACTTGCAGGGCAACTGGCCGAGAGCTGCGGGTACCCTGAGCATCCTGAACCTGGCAAGAGTAGGAGCCAGCCTGAGCCCGTGTGGCCACAGGGAACTGGAGTGAGGTGGCTGGCCCTTCCTGCAGCCAGCGGCCATTGTGGTACCAAGTATAGAGGGTGGGTGCACGGGCAGTGGGGTCTTCACAGGTCACTGTGACAGGGGTCCCCTCAGGCACTGTAGCAGACGGAGCTAGCTTCACCTGCACACCTGTACCGAGGGGGTCAGAGTCAGCTGGGCCCAGTCACACATACAGATGACTCCCTCCCCTGTGGTATTAGCCCCAGGTCACCCTCTAGCCGCAGCTCCAGAGACGTATTGGCCTGGCCCAGAAGGCTGCGGGCGGAGCAGCTGTAGAGCCCTTCGTCACTGGGTCTTGGCTCCCGAAGTTCCAAGCGCAGGGTGTTGGGGACAGAGGTTGCGGATGAGGAGGCCACGAGCTGGCCTGCATGACTGAGGGTCAGCTGCGCAGGTGGGCGGCTATCCACAGTGCACAGTATCAGGACCAGCTGCTGTCCCTGGCTGTCCAGGAGGTAGGTCAGGTGCAGTCTACGGGGTGCATCTGTAGAGGCCCAGGAGACACCAGAAGAGCTCAGATGGCAGCCTCCAGGAGGCTAGTTTTCAGGTGACACTGGGACAGATGAGGGTCCTGGTTCCCCAACCCAAGGACCCCATATAGTCCAATCTGAGATGTTGCTACTCTGCCAGGAATGGACTTATTCCCCTCTTCCTCCAGCTCGAATACCCCTTGTCCATGGTGCCATCGGCTGGACAGGTAGTGAGTGCTGCGCCATATGCTGATCCCTGTGAACTGCCATCATCCCTTCCACTCCCACCCCTGCACACAGACAGACTCACAGAGGACATTCAGGGTGACAGGTCTGGAGAGGCGGGGTGCCTGGCCAGGGAGACTTGCACCACAGTAATAAGAGGTGGCATTCTTGACCGTGACGTTGAGCTGGGCAGAGTGAGCACCTTGGCATTCCTGCCCATCGCGGTACCATGTGTAGGTGAGACGGGCTTCCTCATTCGTCCAGACATGGCAGACCAAAGCCACCTCCTTCCCCTCCTGCACAGTGGCATTGGGCCACACCTGCACACTCACGGCTAGGGAAGAAGGAAGGCGCAGGGATGTCAGCGAGGATGCTGAGGCAGTGTAAATCACCCCCTGTCTTAATGCGGGACAGTCACCCCTGCTGCTGAGTCCCTGGAGATCTGTGAGCTTCAGGAGACCTCTATAAAAGGAACTCAGAAAGCTGGGCACTGGTGGCTCAAACCTGTAATCCTAGCTACTTAAGAAGCTGAGAGCTAAGGATCGTGGTTTGAAGCCAGACTGGGCAGGAAAGTCTGTAAGACTTATTTCCATTTAACTACAAAAAAAAGCCAAAGTGGAGCTGTGGCCACGTGGTTCTCGAATGAGCAGCCACTGCATGAAGAGCCTGAGGCCACGCTCACTGGCAGAGCATTAGCCTTGAGCATAAAAGCTCAGGGACAGTGCCCAGGCCCTGAGTTCAAGCTCAGGACCAACATACATACACATACAAGGAGCTCAGAGGTCACAGGGAAATGGCAGTCCCAGGGAGACCTAGACAGCACGGATCTCCTCCATAACCCTGGGGGAAGGGAAACAAAGCCTTCTCCTTAAGGTGCTCTTTCTGATTCACTTTATCTACTGAGCATTCCTGGAAAACTCTGTGTTGGAAAAAGGCCCTTCCAACCAGGCACTGGTGGCTCAGGCCTGTAATCCTATTGTGAGAACAGTGATTTAAAGCCAGCCCGGCCCTCACCTCCCTCCAAAAATTAAGTCTCTCAGACTTATCTCCAATTAACCAACAAAATTGCCAGATTGGAGATATGGCTCAAGTGGTAGCACACTAGCTGTGAATGAATGGAAAAGCAAACTGAAAGCTCAAGGCCCTAAGTTCAAGCCCTGGTATCAGCATGAAAGACAGGAGAAAAGGGAGGGGAAGTGAGGGGAGGAGAGAGAGGAGAAGAGAGAAGAGGAGAAGAGAAGAGAGGAGAAAAAGGAGAGGAGAAGAGAGGAGTGAAAAAAAGAAGAGAGGACAGGCACTGGTGGCTCAAACCTGTAATCCTAGCTACTCAGGAGACTGAGATCTGAGGATTGAGGTTCAAAGCCAGCCCAGGCAGGAAAGACTGAGACTCATCTCCAATTAACTACCAGAAAACCAGAAGTGGTGCGATGGCTCAAAGTGGTAGGGTGCTAGACTTGAGCAAAAGAGCTCAGGAACAGCATCCAGGCTCCAAGTTCAAGCCCCATGACTGACAAAAGAAAAAAGAAAGAAAAGGAGCCCTTCGACAATTCAAGTCAGAGAATATGGTCCTTGGGGCAGTGTGAGAATGGAGATTGTCTTTATGTTCCCTAAAAGGCTTCTAGAGCCTTCTCCCACCTGTTCTCCTCTCCAGGACACACACACACACACACACACACACACACACACACACACACACACACACACTCACTCACTCACTCACCCTGGACATCAAAGTTAACCGAAGCTGAGGTCTGGCCCAGGCTGTTGGTGGCTTCGCAGGTGTAGATGCCCTCATCCTCCAGCCCTGTGAACTCCATATCCAGACGCAACTGGTTGTGGGACACCACTGCTTGCAGCTGGGAAGAGGTGTTTGCAAGTTCCACAACACCCTGGAGGGTGGAGGCTACCAGGCGGTCACCATGGAGCAGCCGAAGCTGGGATGGGGGATCACTGGCCACAGTGCACAGAAGGATGCTCCGCCGTCCGGGGCCTGTAGCCAGCAGGGTTGTAAGCGTGGCATGGCGTGGCGAGTCTGCATGGGGAAGGGAGTGATCAGGGCTTGGCCAGTCACACAGGCAGAGCCCAGGACCAGGGAATGCCTCCCTTCCCCAACACGAGGCTGAGAAACACCCCCTTACAGGACACATGGAGGCTGACAGGAGCGGCCAAGCTGGGGGTGGCTGCACCTGGGACTTGAACTTGACAATGGTAGGCCCCAGTTTGCTTGGGAGCTATGGCTGCAATCCGGAGCGTGGCTGAAGTATGTTCCTGGAGGAGGTAGCCATTCTGATACCACTGGTATGAGGTCCCATCAGGGACCTCCATGGGCACCTGGCAGCGTAGGACCACATCCTGGCCCTCCTGGAGCTCCAGTGATGGTGAGACCTGGACCCAGGCTTCTGCAGGGAGGAAGTGGGGGCAGATGAGCATCTGAGGCAGTGTGTGCCACAGAAGACTGTGTCTAGGAGCCACAGCTTCCCCTCTCTATGCACTACCAGGGCATCCTGAAGCCCCACGTGTCTCTGCTTCACCTGCTCCACTTGCTCACATGGCCCTGATCACTCACCACCTGGAGTTTCCATGTGGCACTGTCAATCACACTGCCTTGCGGGAGGGTGAGCCTCCTGGGCACCAGGCTTATGGGCTCTGCAAGCCCAATCAGCGCCAGGCCCCTCACCCATGTGCTGAGATCCTGACAAGTGTTGGTTGTCCTGATGGCTGTGAACTGCACTCAGCATGTAGCTGATAGCTTAGGGAAGATGGTAGCTGAGGAGCCTTAAGTTCTGTCCAGCCCTCTCAGCAACCCTGTACCCAGGCTCCAGGTTACAGGAGTCCAGGTACTGAGGCACAGGTAAATGGAGGAGGGCAGGGCAGGGGAGAGAAGAGGAGGGACAACTGGATAGTGACTCAGAGTCCAGGCCAGCCTGGCATCAGAAGCAGGCTAGTCCAGTGCTCACAAGCAAGCTTCTAAGTCTCTGACTCTCAGTTTTTCTGCCTGGAAAATAAATACAATAAATAAGAAAGCATACATCCAATCAAGGCCTAAAGTCACTGTTCAAAAATTACTGCTGCTTTTCATTATGGAAGAAGGATATATATTTCTGTCTATGTGAAACAAGGTCTTGTTATAGATCCCACGCTGGTCTTATACTCATTCTGTTGCTCAGGCAACATAGGAAGATTGTGATCCTCCTAATTATGCCTCTGAGTAGATGAAATTACAGGCATGAGCCACAATACCTGGCCTTGACTCAGCCTGGAGTGTGCTGGGATAGCAGGCATGTTCATCATGTCTGGTTTTCTTAAAGAGAATTTTTATAGAGAACATGTATGTATGTATGTATGTACGTATGTATGTATGTGTGTATATATAGTATATATAGTACATATGTATAAAATAAATATTAGTCTATAATGAATAAAATATGACATATGTAAGTATATATGTGTCACCTGGATGCTGGTTGCTCATGCCTATAACCCTAAATACTCAGGAGGCTGAGATCTGAGGATCGAGGTTCAAAGCCAGCTCAGGCAGGAAAGGCTATGAGACTCTTATCTCCAATTAACCACTGGAAAACCAGAAGTGGAGCTGTGGTTAAAAGTGGTAGGGTGCTAGCCTTGAGCAAAAAAGCTCAGACTCTGATATCAAGCCCCATGACTGACAAAAAAAATAAAGGAGAGGAATATATGTGTATAACACACATATGTTGATCTTTTTGTGTGAGCTGGTCCTGAGGCTTGAACTCAGTGCGTAGGTGCTGTCCCTGAGCCTTTATGCTCAAGGCTAGTGTTCTAACACTTGAGCCACAGCTCCACTTTCAGCTTTTTGGTAGTTAATTGAGATAAGAGTTTCACAGACTTTCCTGCCTGAACTAGTTTTGAACTGTGATCCTCAGATCTCAGCCTCCTAAGTAGCTAGGATTACAGATGTGAGCCACCAGCACCCAGCCATATCTTGATTTTATACTATGTAACAAAATTACATTACAAAATAAATAGTGGAATAATAATAATAAATTGTGTTTAGGGGCTGGTGGCTCATGCCTATAATCCTAGCTACTTAGGAGGCTGAGATCTGAGGGTTATGGTTTGAAGCCAACCCTGGCAGAAAAGTCTGTGAGACTCTTATCTCCAATTAATCAGTGAAATGCCAGAGTAGAGCTGTGGTTCAAGTGGTAGAGTGCCAGCCTCAAATGAAAAAGCCAAGTGAGATTGAGAAGCCCTGAGTTTAAGTCCCAGAACTGGCGCGCGCGCACACACACACACACACACACACACACACACACACACACAAACAGTTGGGCCAGAAAGTGCTTCAATGAAGCAAATTACCTTACATAGCTGCCACTGCCTCCTCATGGCTGCTTCACTTATTTTGAGTGAAACGTATGCAGTAGAGGCAAAAGGAGGCCTTTGCTGGCTGGACACAAACTGTCCCCTAATCCTACCTACAAGAGACTTGCATTTCTACACAAAATCTACAGCCTATAGTCTAGTCAAGGACCCCCCACACACACATGCATGGGTGTACCCCATCACTGGAGGATTGACACTCACCTCGGACCTTAAAGAAAAGCGAGGCATTGGCTGATCCGAAAACATTTTTGGCTTCGCAGCGGTAGCTTCCTGAGTCCTCCAGGCCCAGCTGCCGGACCTCTAGCTGCAGGGCGTTGGCAGTGACCTTGGGCTGGAGCCTGCTGTGGGATGGGTGCTGGTGTCTCAGGCTGGTGGCCAGGAGGTGCCCCTCATGGAACAGGGACAAGTGAGCCACAGGACTACTGTCCACAGTGCAGACAAACACTGCCACGTGGCCCTGGCCCACATCCAGGAGGGCAGAGAGCTTTGGAGGATCTGGGGGATCTGCAGGAACAGAGTGGGGAAAGGAGGCTCAGACAATTCCAATCAAATTCACTGCGTTCAGGCTGCCACACAGTCTTCCCCATTCCACCTCCCTGCTACTCACACGTCATGAGCCTACCCTGGCATGCCCAGGCCAAGCACTTGCCTCCAACCTCAGCCCTGCTGGCTCCCAGGTCCCCAAGCCTGCCCTTGCCCAGCACCCACAGTGCACACTCAGCACCACTGCAGCAGAGAGCTGGGCACCATCCTCGAGGAGGCAACAGGTGTAGATGGCAGCATCAGTCCTGGCCACGGGTCTCAGCCTCATGGTCTCCAGGGGACCCTGGGCCCACAGCGCCCCATTCCGGAACCAGGAGAAATTGGCAGAGCTGACAGGGGTTTCCCGGTTCACGCTGCAGGTCAGGTTGGCCTCTGCACCCTCCTGAAGAGTGGCTGACGGTGTGATGAGCAGGCGAGTAGCTGGAGAGCAGGCAGCACACATTTACCGCATAGACACAAGCCTGTATTTGACCACCATGCCCTACCTTGGGGTCAGAGCCCCCAGCCTCCCAGCCAGGAGGTTGGGAAGAACATCTCCTGGGGTGCTTTTGGGGTGGGAGAGAAACAACCAAGCTCACAGCCTATAAAAGATTAACACTGGGGGATGAAGGGCTGGAGGTTGAAGGTCACAAAAAAGGGAGAAAGGGCTGGGAGGGTGGCTCAGTGGTAGAGTGCTTGCCTAGCATGCATGAAGCCCTGGGTTCCATTCCTCAGTACCACATAAACAGAAAAAGCCAGAAGTGGTGCTGTGGCTCAAGTGGTAGAGTGCTAGCCTTGAGCAAAAGAAGCTCAGGGACAGTGCCCAGGCTGAGTTCAAACCCCAGGAAAAAGAACAAGGTAGAAAGATGACCTACTGTGCTGTCATCAGAGCTCAGCCTGTCCCAGATGGAAAACTGAATCTGGAATGACTGGAGATTTGGTGTTCTACCACTTGAGCCAATCCTCTCACCCTCGATCGTAGCTTTGAGACTCCTCAATGGGGGGTGAGGGATAATAAGACTCCCAGGACCTGTCACTGAAGCCAGCTCTGCCTCCTCCCACTTTTGGCACAGATGGTTTTGGCCTGATCAACCTCTCTTGGAGTGGGGGGTTCCGCCTAGTCTGGAGCTCTAACCACTGCCTCCATCCACCCACCTCTGCCCCTCGCCCTTACCCTGAGCATCAAATGTGGCTGAGACGGAGGCTTTGCCCAGAGTGTTGCTGGCCTCGCACAGGTACTCTCCCTCATCCTCCAGCACTGGGTTGTGAATCTCCATGCGCAGCAAGTTGGGGGCTTTGGTGACCTTTATGCGCTCGGAGCAGCCTCCAAGTGGGCTGCAGCTGCTGTTCAATGGCAGAGAAGTGGCCACAACATGGCCCTTGTGCAGTAGCTGTAGCTGGGCTGGGGGATCGCTTTTCACACGGCACAAGAGGAGGCCTGGCCGACCAGCATCCATTCCAGAGGCATCAAGATCCAGTTGAGCAGTGAAAATGGGCTGCCGTGGGGCATCTGTGAAGAGCATGAATATTTATCCTGGGGCCTCTGACAGGGCCCTCCTGGCTCTACTCCAGAGCACACTGGACACAGGTACGTCCCCAGAGTAGCCACAAACAGCTGTGCAGGTTGAGCATTGCATAAGACCAACCAGACTATGAGGGTAGCTCATGCAGCTCACTAAGCTGCATCCTGGTGTCAAACTGAGTCTTCCCAGAACAAGAATTCTTTTCTAGCTGGGACAAAGGCTCTATAGTGGCTCATGGCCACCTTGCCAAAGTCTCACCTACTCCTGAGCCGCCCTGCTCCTGCGGAGCTACATGATACCTACAACAGTCTCTTTTCAGAGCTTTCTGAGATAAGCCAGCAACCAAAGCCCTGCATAATCTCACTCTGACACCTGGAAACTCAGGGACACTGCCCTGCTCACCCCTGCCAGGGGAGATCTGGGTTTCAACATGCCCTGAGCACTAACAGGAAGCACCCACTCTTGGCAGGATGCCAAGGGACTGACTGTCTCCATGCTGGGGCTTCTGCCTTGGAGTTTGGGAGCCCAGGAAGGCTCAGCCAAGGAGTATAGGCATATGCTGTCCTATAGCATCCTGGACCACGCAGAAAGACATCTTGGATGTGGGAGTATGAGGAGGCCTTTGTCCCAGCTAGAAAATCATTCTTGTTCTGGGTTTAACACCAGGGTCAATGGGGCTGCAATTGAAGGCAAGACATGAAGATGTAGAAGAGGCCTGGGTATCATCCCCCAACTTGAAGTCTACAGTGGCCAGGCCTATGACTACCTCCCTGAAATGGAGCCCAGGGCAGGAGTAGGGTGGAGGTGGGGTGGCTGGTGGCCCCAGTGGGCTGACCCTCCCCACGGCAGACAGTGGCTAGGCTGCTCACAAAGCACAGTGAGGACCACAGGCCGGGACGGGTCGCTGGTGCTGTGGCCATCTTGGGTCCTGCAGTGGTAGGAGCCAGCATCGATGCTGGAGGTCTCAGGGAGCAGAAGGCTGTTGCTGATTCCCTCGAAAAGCAAGGCTCCATTCAGGTACCAGGAGAAGCGAGTGTTGGGTGTCGGGGTCAGGCCGCTCTTGCAGGTTAGAGTCACCGCTTGCCCTTCTTCCACCTGGGTTGCTGGGCTGATGAGGAGGCGGGCCTCTGGGGGACAGGGAGAAAGGAGGAGGTGCGGGTGAGGCTGTTACCCATTCTTCATGCTGCCTGTTACAAGAAGCCCTCTAGGAGTCTCTTCTCCCCACCTGACTATTGAGATATGGGCATTGTGCTAGATCAGGGGGGCATGGCCCAGAATGCCAACCCAGATGTACTATAACACAGCCCAGAAGGACACTGGGCCACAGCCCAGCCCTGTATCCCCAGCCTGGTTTGATTTACTAGCTAGCTAAGTGTAAAGTTTGTACTGACAGCAGAGATTCTGGACTCTGCTTCTCTAGTTTGCTTCCCACATCTAACTCCAGGCACAGAACCTGCACCAAAAGCTTAATAAATGTCAAATAAACACTGTTTACGAAGGGCCTTTTAAGTTCAGTGTCAGAGTATGTGCAAAAAAGAATAATATTTCCATTTTTGCTTTGGTTTCTAGGAACTTCTGAGGAACTTTGATGTGACCTAGCAACTAGTTAAACCTCTTAGCTGAGTCCTCTAGACTCCTATATGGAACGCTTTTCCTGGGAACGCTTTTCCTGGGCCTCCCTCCACTCACTCCCTGCAGCCTGTGCCCATGTTACCATTGGCGAAGAAATCCAGGGAGGAGGTGGCATTTCCAAGGGAGTTGTTGGCTGAGCACTTATACTGCCCACTGTCCGCTGGCTGCAAGTCTTGTATCTCCAGGTGCAGGGAGTTGGGAGCCAAGATGATGCTGAAGCGTGGGCTGTAATCATTCTTCCCAGAGCTGGAGGCCAGGATGAGGTCCCCGTGTGACAGCTCTAGGGTAGCCACAGGCTCACTGGCCACTGAGCAATGCAGAATCCCCACAAGCCCAGCCTTTGTCTCCAGAAAGGCAGTCAAATCTGGGGTGTGGGGTGGGTCTGTGGGGACCAGAAGTGGACCTGTGACTCTCCAGTAGAACCTTCTTGCACCCCCATTAGTCTATGATCCTGTATCCTTTTGAACCACAATGTCCTGGGACAGTGAACAATCCCAGCAGTCCCTGAATACTAGCCAAATACACTCTAGCCCCTAGGCTGGACAAGTCACTCTGCTGGCTCTGCCAATCTTCATGATCAGCCTGCCTGTGAGGGTCAGGGCCCATTTTAAGATTAGAGATATGGTTGGGATTGGGCTGCAGACAGCACCATAAGCAAGGATCAGAGGGACCATAAGACAAATTGACCCTGTATGTCTCCCCATATTCCCTGAGAGAACTGAGGCAAATACAGTGCCATACACCCTGCCAGTCTAAATGCACAGTCTCAGAAAATGCAAAGGGAGGCCTGACTCCAAGTCTCGACATCATGAAAGATAAGGAAAGGAACTATTCTATAGAGACATGATAAGAAAAGGAAGAGACAGGACAGCTGGGTAGTGGTGGCTCATGCTTATAATCCTAGCTACTCAGGAGGCTGAGATCTGAGGATCACAGTTCAAAGCCAGCCTGGGCAGGAAAAGTCCATGAGACTCTTTTTTTCCCCCTTGGTCGTGGGGCTTGAACTCTGGGCTTGGGTGCTGTCCCTGTGCTCTTCAGCTCACAATGAGTGCTCTACTGCTTAAGCCACAACGTCATTTCCAGTTTTCTAGTGATTTAATGGTGATAAGACTCTCACGGACTTTCCTGCCCAGGCTGGCTTTGAACTGTGATCCTCAGATCTCAGCCTCCTGAATAGCTAGGATTACAGGCATGAGCCACCGGCGCCCAGCTCTGTGAGACTTTTATCTCCAATAAACCACCAGAAAACCAGAAGTGTCTCTGTGGCTCAAGTGGTAGAGCCCTACCCTTGAGCTGAAGTGCTGAGGGGCAGCACCCAGGCCCAGACTTCAAGCCAACTCTCCCCCCACCTCTGCAAAAAAAGAGGCTGAGATCTGAGGATCAAGGTTCAAAACCAGCATGGTTAGAAAATTGGAGAGACTCTTATCTCCAATTAATCAGCAAAAAGCAGGAAGTAAGGTGTGGCTCAAGTGGGAGAATGCCATCCTTGAGTGGAAAAGCTGACCAAGAGCACAAGGTCCTGACTTTAATCTCTATCCAGCACAGGCACAGAGAGCAGAAAACTATGAGAGACTTAATTTCTAGAATAAGCAGCAAAGAGCTGGGCTGGTAACATGGCTCAAGTAAGAGCAACAGCTGATCAAGCAAACCTAGTAAGCACAAGACCCTGAGTTCAAACTCTGTATCACAAAAAAGTACTTAATGTTTGTTCTATACTTGCAGCTTTTCATAAGTTTGAAGCTGTTTTCAAATAAACTATTTTTTGTGCCAGTATGGGGGCATGAACTCAGGGACTTGGTGCTGTCCCTTAGCTTTTTTGCTAAAGACTGGCACTGTACCACTGAGCCACAGCTCCACTTCTAGCTTTTTGCTGGTTAATTAGAGAGAAGAGTCTCAAGGACTTTTCCGCCTGGGTTGGCTTTAAACTGTGATTCTCAAATCTCAGCCTCCTGAATAGCTGGGATTACAAGGTATAGATCCACAAGCACCTGGCATAAACTATTTTTTTTTTTGGTCGGTCGTGGAGCTTGAACTCTGGGCTTGGGCACTGTCCCTCAGCTCTTCAGCTCAAGGTGAGCACTCTACTGCTTGAGCCACAGTGCCATTTCCAGTTTTCTAGTGGTTTATTGGAGATAAGAGTCTCACAGACTTTCCTTCTCAGGCTGGCTTTGAACCGTGATCCTCAGATCTCAGTCTCCTGAGTAGTTAAGATTACAGGCAGGAGTCACTGGCGGCCGGCTAAACTATTTTTTAAAGTAGGAGGAAACTAACTTTCCTCACTTTCACGGAGGTCAAAGCCTTGCTCAAGTGGGCAAACCTGGGATGTGAGTTCAGGCCACCTAGCTACAAAATCCTCATCTGGGTTGAGTGGCCTTGAAGCTTGTATGCCAGGGACCCTGGCCTTCCCATGGGATCTCTGACTGACAAGTGACAGGTGCACTGGAGACTGGCCACTTACATCTGACTACCACACTGACAGGGCCGGAGCGCTCGCTGCCCTGGGCATTCTGCACCTCACAGACGTAGAAGCCGCTGTCAGTCCTGGTGGCCTTGTGCAGCTGCAAGGTGGGGCTGTGGATGCCCGCCAGCAGGATATTGTTCTTGTACCAGTTGTAGCGAAGCTCACTGGGTGCCTCTTTGGGTGTGTTACAGGCCAGCGTCACTGTCTGGTTCTCCAGGATGGGACCGGCAGGGCTCACCGTGACCTCGGCGGCTGCAAGGCACAGAGTACACTGGGCTCCCAGCTGACCTCCAGCCCCAACTCCTCAGAGTCCCAGGTGGCCACTAACCAATCTCTGCAGACCCCACTGCACCCCCCTCCACACACAGCCCATAAGACAGCAGAGCTCGGGGAGTCTCCTTGTCCCACTTACTGGTTCCTTCTGATAGCTCCCCCTACAGGATAAACTGTCATCGGTTGCACATCCCAGAGATTACTGGACCACACCAGCCTCTGGTCTCCCTCAGCCCCAGAGACCTGGACCCCACCTCACAACTCTGTCTAGATCCAGCTTCACCTGGACTCACTGAAAACGTGGAGGCTGACCGGCGGTGAGATCAAAGAGCCCACACTGTTCCCTGCTTGGCAGGTGTAGACCCCAGAATCACTCCAGGCTGCCTGGGACAACTGTAGCACACGACCATCGGCTTTGAGCAGCTCCCCGTCCTTGAACCACTGCACGGAACTGACAGCAGGGTAGCTGCTGTTGACTTGGCAGGTGAGTGTGACCAGATCACCTGGAAGGATGTTCTGCCCCAAGGGACTGAGGAGGATCTCCACACCCCTGGGAGCATCTGCAAGGCATCAAAGGGTGCCAAGTAAGGTGCCAGGAAGGGTAGGGGTGGCATACCGCTCTTTCAAAACTCTGCTCTAAGGAAGGCCACTTAGAGAAAGCACCAATTCCCAGCATCCTCCCCTCCCACAATGCACTTCTGCCCGCTTCCTTCTCCACTGCTTTGCCAAGGTGATGCTTGGCCTAGTGTCCAGTTTACACCGCCTTCTATGACTTTCTACGTCATGACCTTGTCTGTTACGTCTGTTCTACTCAGAGGTGAATTGCACAGGTAAGAACACAGGTGCCACACTGCTTGCTTTAGTGGCCTATCTTAGCTGTTGGTAAAGGAACAGCCACAGAACAGGCCAGAGGCAATGTCCAGTTACCCCTCAGAAGAGTTAGCCAGCTTGTAACTCCTGATCCCCAAAGCTACTTGGTAGTTTCTATTTGAGGCCCTTTGTATCCCCTTCTCTTCTGTCCAACCTGGCCTCTAAGAGGCCCCTTCAGATCCTGGAACAGCTCCTCAGAAATGCGGTGTGAGTCCCCCGACACTCACACTGCACACGAAGGTGAACCTCGCTCTGACTCGTGCTCTTGGCAAGAGAGAGTTGGCAGCTCAGCCTCCGGCCGTGGTCCTGCCAAGACAGGGTCATGTAGAGGGTTTGCATCTGGCTAACACCAGTGGGCTCGAGATCCTCGTGGCTGGAGGTGGCAGAGCGAGTGGGGTCCTGGCCTTGCCACAGCAGGCTGTTTTGCTCGTGAGGGCACACGAAGGGCGTGGAGCAGTTGAAGGTCACCTGCATGCCCTCCTGCAGCTCTACTGGGGATGCAATGGTGGGCACACTGGGCTCATCTGAGGACAAAGACAGGAACGAATCAGGAGAGCATTTCACACCCGACATCTCTTGAGTTGTACCCAGGGTCTTGCTGTGTTTTACCACCAGCCCCACTTGGGTGATGGGGAAGGTAAAACAGGGCTGGTACAAGGCCAGAGGCTAGAGCTAGGAGCCAGGGATGAGTATCAGGGGGTAAGGGGTCCCCCCTCCTCACCAGTCACTGTGACTAAGGTGCCTTTTTTATCTGACCAGCTGTTGGTCTCGGTGATCTCAAAGCGGAAACTGTAGGTGCCTGAGTCCTCCGGCTGCAGGTCAGTCAGCAACAGGTTGCACATTTTGTGACTGGGGTTCCACAGCAGCCGAGCACGGCCACGGAAGCGGGCTTCCACCAGCTCTGGGTTCGCCGAGTGGCTCACCACCTGCTTCTTTGCCGTGTAGTCAAAGTACCAGATGGCCTTAATGCCATGAGGCACCTCCAGGTCAGACGGGAAGGTGAAGACACAGGGGATGAGCAGGCAAGAGCCCTTCACACCTTGCACTCGTTCGGGACTGGCGATACCCCAGGAGGTCTGGCCTGGGAAGGGTGGGACAAGGGCAGAGAAGAAGATGACACAACACAGAACCCTAGGAAAGGTACCCCATGTGAACCCCCAAACCCTGTACTTGTCTTCACAGTGAGGCTAGCACAGCCTCCTTCTCAGTACCGGGGGGAAAAGGTGGGGTGGGGCCCTTGCCTGGGAATTGCTCAGAGGCTTGGCAGAGTGACACTGAGAGCTTGGCCCCCTGCTCAGCTCCCTGCCAAGGCTCCCCTGTGCCCTCCCTTGACTTCAGCAGCCAAAGCTGACCTAGATATATAGTCCAGCCTGCAGGGCTGGGCCTCTGAGGCCCTGTAGGGGGGACACTAGGCCCCCCAGCTCACCTGGAGGGAAGACGGTGGCCAAGAGGAACAGGCAGATCAGGAAGCGCATAGCAGGCTCTTGGCTGGTTCTGATGCCTAAGAAGGTGGTACACAGAGCTGCTGAGCACCTAGAAAGCTCCTTGGAACACCTCAGGGCGCTCCAGCCCCACAGTCTCTCAAAGCTCAGCTCTGGGTCTCCCAACCGCTATGCTGGCTGACCCAGTGAGAGGCCAGGGCTCCCAAAGACTTGTAGCCAGCCACCAGCGAGGATCAGGAACCCACAGTCCTGGCTCAGGCTGTGCCCAGAAATGTTCTCACTTGGTGTGGTGGCTACAGTATGCCTTGGCCCCACCCCCAAGTTCTGCTTTCCCACCAGGGACAGGGAACAGCTGTGTCTCTCTTCCTCCCTCTACCCTGGCCCCCTTCCTACCACCTAAACCAACAGTGCTGAGCCCAGAAAGGCTGGGTGACTTAGTCCAGGGTGCCCAGTAAACATGGTAACTTCTTGTTTGACATTTATCTTCCTGTCACCAGCCTTTCCAGCCATAACAGGATTGAACTGAACTTAACAAAATGTTATCTTAAAGAGTCCTCCCCACCCATTCCCTATTGCTTATGAAATGTGAAAGGCCTTAAGTGAGGAAGAGAATGACACAATGCCTATGTGCATCTGACCATACAACATCTCATTTATCGAGATGAACTCCAGGAAATGGAAACTGAAGTTTTTTTCTCTTTGGTTGTTTCTATTTCCCTTTCTTTTTGTTGTTTGTTCATTTATATGTCTTTGGGAGCGTAAAGGGAGGCACAGAAATGGAGGGACAAGGGGTGAACAAATGCAGCCGTGGTACTCACTAGTCACTATGTTGAAAATGAGCTATACAACTTGTGGGTGAGATGGAACGGAAAAACTGGGAGAGAGTGAGGGAAGGGATGACCTTGTCCAAAAAGAAATGCACTCTGTACCTGGTGTATGTAACTGTAATCCCTCTGTGCATCACCTTTATAATAACAATAAAAATTTACCAAAAGAAAGGAGCATGAAAAGCCCCCATTTCTTGCCTCTTGCTCCTTCCTGAGCCGCCACCCCCGGGCAGTCCTGCCTATCCCAGTTGCCAGCTCTGTCTCCACAACAAACTTTGCTGACTGAAGCCTTGTTTAGCCTTCAAGGTGCAGCTTACATGGACTCTGGGCTGCAACTCTCCCATAGGAGTCCCTATGGTCTCTCTGTATCTGCTTTCTCCCTAGCACAGTGAACAGCCACTTCAGAGGACTAAGGATCCAAGAGATGTGGCCCACCATAGCACTGAGTCCCCCAGACATTCAATGGGTGAGAGTGGGGTGTGGTCCCGCAGGGGGTTAGAGTAGGAGCAGGGAAGTGGCCCAATGCACATCCCACAAACACAAAGGAGCAGGAAGCATCTTGGTCCATATGGGTAAAACACAGGCTCACTCAAAAGCTTATTCCAAAAGGTTGGCCCATTTAAATCCTTTCCAGGTCAAGTCAGCAATCTAGAGGGAAGAAACCCACAATTGTAGGTATCCACTTTTCTCTGACGGTCAGCATGTAAATTAAATATTAAATCCAAATTGAAGGTAACTTGAGTAAGATCAAGTTTCAACAAGGGATTGAAGAAGTTCCCTCCCCATAGAGAACTTCTGAACATCTCAGGGGCTTTTCCTAAAAACAAAACAGATAACTGCAAAACCAGATGGATAAACAAGCCTGCTTTAGAAGGCTTAGCATATTCTCTCCACAGCATGTACAAGCATAGTAGAGGTCATGGGAGGGTAAGGATCAGTGCAAAGGGCAGTGGGCCCTCAGACATGTGGCTTCAGTCACCAGACCCAGCTAATGGTAAACCCACATCACCTAGCTGGGTGGGTAGATAAGAATAGCACTCCTTTTTAAGTTTCTATGATGGGCATCCTATTTCTATGATGGACCTCTCCTCTCCTTTCCCCTCCCCTGCTCCCTTCCCCTAAGGGGTGCTCGAGATATTGGAGGCATAAATTAAGTGCCTACTGTCTACTGTACATAAGAAGGTAGGCCCTGTGGCTGGGAAGGTGGCTCAGGGGTAGAGTGCTTGCCTCGCATGCACTGGGTTCTATTGCTCAGCACCACATAAACAGAAAAAGCCGGAAGTGGTGCTGTGGCTCAAGTGGTAGAACGCTTGCCTTGAGCTAAAGAGCTCAGGGACAGTGCCCAAGGTCCAGAGTTCAAGCCCCACGACTGATGGGGGGGGGGAGAAGAAGGTATGCCCTGTGCCATAGAGTGCTTCTGCTGGGGAGAACACTCAACAGGATAACAGAAATGGGTCCAAATTATAAATGTAAAATGGGGCCACTACTGTGGAAATCAGTTTGAAGTACCTCAAAAAGTCAACACAGAATCAGGATTTATATAATATATATATATATATATATATATATATACACTCCTAGGGATGGATAGACAGACAGACAGACAGACAGATAGATAGATAGAAGAGTATTGAAGACAGGGACTCAGACAAACACTGTCCACAGCAGTTATGAAAACAGCCAAAAGATGGAAAACAGCTTAAGTGAGCATTGATGGAAGAATGGTTAAACACAATGTGGTCTATGGATAGAGTGCAGAATAGATTCACATGTGGGGAAAAAAATAATGAAATTCTGGTATTTCTTCTACTACAGGAAGGCATGGAAAACATTATGTTGTATGAAATCAGTCAGACACAAAAGAGCAAATACAGTATAGTTTCACTTACACAAAATATCTAGAATACACAAATGCCTAGAGACAGACACGGAATAGAGATTACCAGAGATGTGGGGAGGAGGAAGGGAAAGTTAATACTGAATGGGTACAGAATCTCTAATGTGGCTGGTGAAAATATTCTAGAAGGATTAGGGGCATTGGCTCAAGAGACATAATACTTGCCTAGCATGTACGAGGTCCTGGGTTTAGCCCAAGCACCATACAAATAAAAAACATTCTGAAAAAAAAGACAGTTAGTGATGGCTATACAACATTGTGAATATACTGAATGCCACTGAATTGTTCAATTAAAACAGCAAACTTCATATTAACACACACACACACACACAGGTTGCTAGCTTTGCAATCCTCCCCTGGGTCTGCTGACTTGGCAGAGAGGCAGGAGGGGGGGGGGAGGCTGGAAGCTGGGACAGGAAACTCATGACATCCCCTCACCCCTCAGCCCATCCGTGCCATGGCCTGGGTGTGGCTGACTGCTAGCTACCAGCGGGCACACCTAGGAAGACTGAGCTGAGACCTGGGTCTGGACGGGGCCTGAGATGCCCTCAGGATGCCCGACTGCGTCTGACCCAGCGCAGAAGGCAGAGGGGACATCCTTGAAGGGGTCCCAGCCTAGTGTCTATTCAGGACAGGAAGCACTATGCCCCCAGGGGACCCCAACCTCTCAGAGGACTGCTCCAGCACCCACAGCCTCCACACCAAGCCTTTGGCTGCTTAAGACTGGCTCAAGCTGGTCACTGTGAGGAAAGGCAGACCGTCAGACACCCAGATAGGCAGTGTCAGGGCTAGCTTCTCTGCGTCCAGAGACATCTTATTTGGGGGGTGCAGGAAAGAGCAATGCTGAATCTCATGGGAGGATGTAAAGGATTTGGACGTTGGAGCCCTCCCCCACCCGAGTGAGCATGTGAGAGCAGCTTTCTAGAAGCCCTATGATGTCGCCTCTAGATGTCACCTCTGCCAAACCCAGTCCTAACGCTACAAGGGTGGGTCCCACTGGAGCCCAGCATATTGGCTCATCCTGTTCTCCCTCAAAGACCAAGCTCAGCCCATGGAACTGGAAAAAAAAGAAGGCGCAGGGACAACCTCAAGAAAGGCTATCTTGTCCTGTGTGAACACCTGGTGCAGAGGGCAGGGGGCCTGTGGGCTTGGAGTGGGCTTGGTGGGCCTAGTGTCCAGCGCCCCCTGGTGGTAGAGGATTGCATCCAGTCCTGGGGAAAGAGGGGGGGGGTCTTGTGTATTCGGAAGGACACTTACCACTGAGAACCTAAAACAGTCCCTTCCTTGAACAATGACTCTTTTGGACCACATCGCCTCCTATCTGGGAGTTCTGAACATTTCTTTCATCCTTGTGTCTCCAAATCCTAAGGGTTCTGGAGACAGAGCTTTCAATCCCCACTCCTGGAACTGGCATGTGCTGAGTCAGGCCGGGTTAGGTCTGCTCTGTATGTGAGAACAAGTGTCCCAGCACATACACAAGAGCATGTTGGGCCCCCATGGCCCTGATCTTTGATCCCAGAGGCCACGTCTCAGGGGGAGGGAGGACCAGTCAGCTTCCTGGGGGGGGGGGGCTCAGGATTCAGTTTCTGTTTCCTGATACCAGGGCTTCTCCCAACTTCCCTATCAGGCTGGAGAATGAAGGACAAGGGTGATGAGGCCAGCTGGAGGGCTCTGGCCCAAAGATAGGAAGTCAGGGTACAGATAGGCAGTTCCCATAGTCTTCCAGAGGGAAACCCCCAAACTGCTTTGTGCTCATTTGGCAAGCTATGGGATCTATCCGTAAAGACCCCAGCTTCTACCAGAGCAGTAGACATCTTAACATTTTACTCCTTACCTGGATCTAAATGCTTTCAGCTGAAGTAATGAGGAACAAAGCCCAGTGGATTGGATTAGAGTAGGGAAAGATTAGGGCTAGCCCAGGTCCACTGGAGATGGTAGGTTGCATTTGGAATTGAACTCAGGCTGGGATCAGGGCTGCCTTGAATGGAGGGTGCTGGGCTTGGGTGACCGATGGGCCCAGATGCAGGTGATGATTAGGATAAGGTGGGTTTAGATGAGGGGGACAGGGTTGGGATCAGGATGAATGAAACATCCATTTATCTGTTTTGTGGGGGTGAGGGGTGGGGATGGAGGGTGTATGTGCCAGTCCTGGGACATGAACTCAGGGCCTGGGCACTGTCTCTGAGCTTTTTCATTCAAGGCTAGCACTCTACTACTCAAGCCACAGCTCCACTTCCAACTTTTTGGATCTAAGAATCTCACAACTGGCTTTGAACCATGATCCTCACATAAAAATCTCTCCAGGGGCTGGGAAGGTGGCTTAGTGGTAGAACACTTGCCTTGCATGCCTGAGGCTCTGGGTTCGATTCCTCAGCAGCACATACGCAAAAAGAAAAAAGCTGGAAGTGGTGCTGTGGCTCAAGTGGTAGAGCGCTAGCCTTGAGCTAAAGAGCTGAGGGACAGCGCCCAGGCCCAGAGTTCCACAACTGAACCCCCCCCAAAAAAATCTCCAAACTGGCTTTGGACAGTGATCCTCAGATCAGTCTCCTGAGTAGCTAGGGTTATAGGTGTGAGCCACCAGTACCTGGCTTGTCTGGTTTTTGTTTGTTTTTGATTAAACCAAGGGTCTCCAGCATACTAAGTGCTCTACCCTTGAGCCAACCCCCCAGCCCTTTTCTTTTTGTTACTGAGACTCAGACTCCCTGACTTTGTTGAGGCTGGTCTCCATTCCTGCGGTTCTCTCAAGATGCTAGGATTGCAGAAGTGCACTGTCACAGCCAGTGGAGGGATTGGCTGGGATTGGATGAGGAAGGTAATTAGGGAATGGTGGGGAGCCACTACAGTGGCAGTGTGATAAAGGTGGGAGAGGGGAGGGGCTGGGCTGTAACCCGTGGGCTGGGATAATGTTTTGATGGCTGAGCCTGGGGCCGGGTTGCCGGTTCAGGAGAAGCTAGGTTGATGAAGTAGCTTGGGTTGCACATACAGCTCTGATTTGTGGCTTGGGCTTCGGTTGGCTGAAGGTCTGGCACTCACAACTTGACACTCACCAGCCCCAGCCCTACCCCAGCGTTCCCAACACCCTCTGGTATCCCCTCCCAGCCTGGGATGGGAGTACCTGTTCCACAGAAGGAAGTGATCGTAGGGCAGGAAGACCAGGCAGAGGTGAACAGGAAGGAAGGTCTCAGCTCTCCACGCAGCTGGCTCCTAGTTCTGGTTCTGCTGCCCTGAGAGAGGAGGATCCAGTCTCGGGGGCTGCTTCCTCTTTCCCAAAGCCTTGGCCCTTCTGCCCCTGTGCAGAGTGTGATCCAAGAGGCAGCTGGGAGCCTTGCACAACACCAGGACAGGAACAGCCCAAGCAGGGAGGGAAGGGGGCTGGACTTAGTCCCTAGGCGAAAGACATAGGAACTCCAGCAAGCAGAAGTGGGATGTGAGCCTCACCAAAGCTTCCTCCTGAGCAAAGGGGAAAGTGGAGTGAAAGTACCCCCTTTACCAGCCTCAATCACATCATTCTCTCTGGGCAGCTTAGCCTCTGGAGGGAAGCCTGGGACACTGAGGGAGCCAGTGCTTCAAGAGAGCTGACTGGATGCTGGGAAGGTGGCTCAGGGGTAGAGTGCTTGCCTTGCATGCATGAGGCCCTGGGTTCAATTCCTCAGCACCACATAAACAGAAAAGGCCGAAAATGGTGCTGTGGCTCAACTGGTAAAGTGCTAACCTTGAGCTGAAGAGTTGAGGGACAGTGTCCAGGCCCAAATTTCAAGCCTCACAGCTAACAAGAGGGAGGGAGAGAGAGAGAGAATGAGAGAGAGAGAGAGAGAGAGAGAAAGAGATATGACTAGGAGACAGGGTGCTCAGAACATAGCATTTCTTCTCCAAGCCCTTTACAGACTACCCTATGCCACTCTGATGAGTGGAAACTAAGAATCTCCCAAGAACCAGGCCCTTTGTGGGGGATACAGGGGCCCCAATATGCTGACATCCCTCCAGTTGATTCCTCTTGCTTCCTTCCTGTCCTCCACCCTCAGCCCTCTTCCCCCTGCCTCCCCCAGCTTGCAGCAGCCAAGCATGGCGATTCATGACTGTAATCCCAGCACTTGGGAGGCTAAGGCCTGGCCTTATCTTCAACTACAAACCTCCAGATGTTAGTCTCCTGAGTAGCTAGTGTTTTTTATTTTTTATTTTTGGTCGTGGGGCTTGAACTCTGGGCCTGGGAACTGTTCCTGAGCGCTTTAGCTCATGGCCAGTGCTCTACCACTTGAGCCACAGTGCCACTTCCGGTTTCCTGGTGGTTAATTGGAGATAAGAATCTCATAGAGTTTCCTGCCTGGGTTTGGCTTTGAATATGATCCTCAGATCTCAGCCTCCTGAGTAGCTAAGATTACAGGCATGAGCCACCGGCACCCATCCAAGTAACTAGTATTATAGGCACAAGCTACCAACACCCAGCTGGTACTAATTCCTGATCCTCTATAGACTCCATTTATCCACCCTACAGTGGGAGAAATACATTGATTTTGGTCATGGCCATGTGACCTATTATAGCCAATGGATGTGAGGGGACATGGCATGAACAAGATCTTTTTTGTTGTGTTTTTATGCTAGTACTGGGCCTTGAACTCAGGGCCTGACACTATCTGAGAGAGAGAGAGAGAAGGAGAGAGAGGAAGAGAGAGTTTGCTTAAGGCTGGAGCTCTATGCCTTGAGATACAGCTCCACTTCCAGATTTTGACTGGTTAAGTGGAGGTAAGCATTTCACAGACTTTTCTGCTGGCTTTTCTTTTGCTTTTTGGCTGGCTTTGAACCTTGATCCTCATATCTGAGCCTCTTGAGTAACTAGGATTATAAGCCTTGAGCAGAAAAAGTTAAGCAAGGGCATGAGGCCCTGAGTTAAGTCCTGGCATTGGCACTAAATAAACAAGCAAAACAATTTTCTACAAATACCCAACCTCAAAGGACAGTGGTATCACTAAAAAGAAATGTGTCTCCTTTTTCTAAAATTGGTGTGGGCACCTACTTTTTTTTAAGAGCAAGAGGGGTTAAGACAGGGTTTCACCTTATAGCCCACACTGGCCTCAAATTAGTGTGTGTGCGTGTGTGTGTGTGTGTGTGTGTGTGTGTGTGTGTGTGCCAATACTGAGGCTTGAACTCAGGACCTTGTGCATATATATATACATATATGTATACATGTATATGATATATCATATATATATATATATATCACAATGGCAGAAGAGAAAATGTAGCTTGTGTTCCCCACTTTAAATTTCCTTAGATTACATGCTACACCTTGTTATATACTAGTAGTCAGAACTTAGTCACAAAGTCTTAACACCTTGTCATTGTAGAGAGAGTGCCTTGGTAAATAATTGGGGTGTATTCCTGAGGAATGGGAAAAAGGACACTCTGCACTTGTATGAAGCAACCAAGACCCTAAGTTCTTCATTCCTTAACCCTACCTAGATTCCAGACTCCATCTCCAGGACAATACCTACCTCCTTGCCAGTATCTCTGCAGAGCCTCCTGCATCCCCTAGAGGGCGCCGAAACCTCTGCTTCCTCAGCTTTCAGACCAGGGCTTAGCATCTTGGACCACCCACAGTGATGCAACTGAGACAGACCTATGCCTGGGGATAGATGGGAGTCAAGGAACTCTGTTAGGAGCTTCTGAAGGCTTAGAATGAGGAAAGAGCTCTGTAACTGATGGCTCTGCCATAATTCTGGCAGCAAAGGGGGCTGAAGAATGGGTGAGGCCTGGGTTCCATCCCCAGCAACACAGAAAGCAGACAAAGCAATCCCCGCCCCCTTCCAGTTCAAGATGCTGGTCCTGACCCCTACAACACTGATGAGATCCCCATGATGAAAAGGAAAAGAGAATTAATCCATAATAGAAGGGAAGGGAATAGGATGATAAGCATTGACTGCCCAAGGATTTGAAAGAGGGGGGGGTGCTAGTGCTTAGTACTGAAGCTTGAACTCAAGGCCTGGGTGCTGTCCCTGAGCTTCTTTGCTCCACTTCTCGTCTTTGGTAATTAATTGGAGATGAGTCTCATCCAAGCAGGTGCCAGTGGCTCACTTCTGTAATCCTAGCTACTGAGAAGGCTGAGATTTGAGGATGACAGTTCAAAGCCAACCCAATGAAGAAAGCCTGTGAGATTCTTTTTTTTTTTTTTTTTGGGTCCGGTTGTGGGGCCTGAACTCTGGGCGTGGGTGCTGTCCCTCAGCTCTTCAGCTCAAGGCTAGCACTCTACCGCTTGAGCCACAG